TTCTCTTACGGTTTCCAATTATTGGAAAACAGGAAGACTATTAGGGGGAAACGACTGACCTCCTCCCCCCCCCCCCCCGAGCGATGTGTAAATATTTAATTCAAAATGATCTGCTACCAGAAATTTTAGTCAAATATCCCCAGTTTGCTAACTGTAGGTAGTAACTAAGTAACTGTAACCTATCCACCGCTGCCCACTGGATGGGGGGCGGTGTGCAGGACAAACATATCAATTGTGACACCAGCTCTCCACATATGTCAGTTGCTTAATTTAGAAACTGTACTTGTGGTCGATCTTGAACCCATTGATGATTTGACGACTTGTACTGAATTTTGTAACTAGCTCATCAAGATTGTAACTTGCTTAGCTAAATGAATTGTGGGGTTCAGTCCCTGAGCCCATTATGTGCCTCTGTGACCCTTTCCACTATCGCCCACAAAATGGGTATGAGGTGCATAATAAATGAACTAAGCTAACCTATTTGATAATTCAAGATTCCGTTCAACACTGACCTTATTTACTGCACCCTTAGCAAGGGGCGTCAACTTATCATGTTCCTGCAGGCCAATGTGAGAAGGAATTTACAATATTTTGATGTTTACCTCTTATTAAGTCTGCTTATATATCTGTCTGGCTTCTGAGACAAGCACATTATTACTTGATTTTAAACTATTTATTGCTAGTAGTGAGGAAAGGGAGTCATAAATAATTAATGTCTACTTCAGTGTTGTCAATAATTTCGAGTGCTACCAGTAGTGCTATCAATTCAGCTTACATTGTGGATGCCCAGTTACTAATTCTTATATTATTTTGAATTGTGCTGCCATCGGGCTGATGAGCAATAACCAGCCCGTCCTCCAAAAATGGGGTGGTAAATGTATGATGTTGAAGAGATTTGAGAATTCGTGTCAAAGTGATGCAGAATGAAAATCTTAGCCATCATGTATATCACTAAAGCTTCCTACTGAAGTTAATATGTGACTGACCTTTCCACCGACGCCCACTAGATGGGTGTAGGTTGGATGGTAAGCAAAGTAAACTGTACAAGTTCACCGTAAATGTAAACTGTCTTAAAAAACAGTGATTCAGTTCCTGAACTAATTATGTGACTTAACAACACAGCCTACAACTAGATGGGAAAGGTGTCCATAATAAATAGAGTATACTAAATTAAAGCTGAATATTGGTGGGTCTAAGCTTATCCAATTCATGAACTGTTTTAAAATGTTAATTTTCATTTTTTTATTTTAATTTTCGTATTTCTGTGAGATCTGGTAGGTCTCGAAATGCTGAATGCATTGCGGGCCACTCACTGTATTTTCTGTGAACCTTTATGAGATATGGACTCTGGTACAGTGTGTCGTGAGCTCAACACTGCATGACAGGGCGGATATCATTGAAACTTTTAAAATACTGAACAATTTGGAGCATGTTGATCCGGACAATTTTGTCAAAAGGTCTGATGTAACCCAAACAATAAGAACGGTTTCAAGCTTAACAAGCCACAATGTAGGACTGAGAACAGGGGATGTTTTTTCACCAACAGGGATATTAACCCATGGAACCGCCTACCCACCGAAGCCGTAAATGTAAACAAATTTAACTTAAAATCTAGCTAGGAAAAATCATTTTGGCAAATGGGGGACCTTTGACAAGCCGCCGACTTCTTGTCCTCGTCGACGCCACTAGTCAGTGGCTCTCAGGTATATTCAAATAAAACATGTCTAACCGTTTCTTTCTCGCTCGAACCCAGGATCCCCGATTCTGAGTCGAGAGCGAAGCCAACTGTACGCGAAGCTATGCTTTTCGTATATACGTAACAGCCGGTAATTACAATTATTGTACAGATTGAGGAACAAATTCAGCATTGCTATTTTTAGATTTGTAAACTTTGAAAGGAATGTCCACATTGTAGTACTAAGAATCCTCGAGCAATGCAGCCGGTGCTCGTGTACCAGAGCGTACCTCTTCTTGCTGACGTACTCCAAGGAATGTCCGCAAAAATAAACATTCATTTGCCTCAGTGATTATGATTGTTTCACACTCCTTCTTTAAACTTCTGAACAAAACCAGCAGAAGCTTGTCCTGCAGCACTGCTGTTCTAGTTAATGAATGCATTGGCAGTTTTAGTTTACTTAGATATTCTGGTGTATTGTAGAATAGTGACCTACCACTAATGTATAATGATTACTCTATATATATTTACAGTTAATCACATTAACGTGACTGTATCAATGAGAAACATGGGAACTATGCGTGGGAACACCCACCGCATAGGTTCGAACCCTCATCACGGCTCATACGGATTTTCTGTAAATACATAGCTATTGAAATGGCACATTCTCTGTAACTAGCTGACATTATAATTATAAAATGTCAAGGACAGATGTAATTGTTAATGTAATAATTTCCGTTGAGGTCTGATAAAGAGCTTTTGTGCCCTCTGTAATCCTTTTTGCGCTACCGCTCGCAGGATGCACAATAAATTAGCCGTCTCCGGCGGCAACAATCGTATATTCAACAATATTGTAAAAACAGTGTCACAGACTATATTCATTCAGTGGGCAGTGGTGGAAGGGCTGCAGTCTTAAATGGGATCTGACACTAAACCCGTCTTTGTTTATTTGTGGTGGTGCAGAGGTGACCGAGGAACATGAGCGGGTAGCGGGAGTGTGCAGCAGCAGCCCATGGAGTGAGCAGGAGCTAAACAATCTTAAGGATCCGTAATTTTATCGTGTTTGAAGCTTTCATTAACTAGTGTTTGGGTTGCATTTTCCGAATAAATTAGTCGAAAATTATAAGCACGTATGTGTTTTGACATTGAAATTGTTTTTACAGTGCAATTTGTTTTCCATAGATTTCAGGCAGTTTTGCACTGAACAATAGTTGGAGAGAGAATTCATGCTTTCATTATTATAGTCCAGTCTCATTGGAAAAACAAAATCGCCTTGAACTAAAGAGTTTAACAAAGACCTAAACAAAAAGTTAAACATTGTTGCAAATAAATACTGTGTTAAAGTAGTTGACTCCCGCGCCGCACGCTTGGCAGGTCAGTGTCCACACTCAGGGTGGCAAAATAGCCGTCAGGATCCTTCACTGTGTTGTTGTTGTTGATTTAGGGGCGACGACCATCGTGGGATCGGATGCGCCCCGGCGTACCCGTTAAGGGTTAATCGCGAAGCCAGGAAAGGTGAAACGCAAAGCCGAATCGCGAAACCAGTGACGCCAATCACTTGAAACTAATATGTCATGCGACAAAGCAACGCAGACAGGCAGATGATTGGGGAGCCCCAGGAGTCCCTCAGGGTGACAAGCACCGGCCCCGCCCCACACAGAACACTGGGTAGCAAAACCAAAATCTCGGCCCCCAACTAAAACGCAAATTATCCAGTGTTCTCCGGCAGAGCATAAGTCAGCCGCCCACCACGGCTGAGGGCACACCAGGAGCCCACCAACCCCTGGCACCTCTCGGCCAAGCCGGCCCCCTAACACCGTCACCCCGCCGGGAGAACCAGCCAGAACACGTAAAAAAAAAGTCTATTAACAATCCCGTGACCCAAGGCGATATGTGCGCCAGGCGTCGTACAACTGGAGGCTGACAAATCTTATCTAAGGTAATGTCAACGAGAAAGAGTACGAGACCTGTATTGTTGAACAGCGTTTACTGTTCTTATGAAATTGTTAAAGAAAATTACCCCTATCCCCCTCCTCTCCAAAGGCCAAATTCATCCGTAATGTACGTTCCAGGCGTCGAGGGGAAAGAAGAGAGCAGTGTTGTCATGGTAACGGGTCATAACTAGGCGCCCCTGCCACCCAATATCTTGAGATTATCTTGAGATGATTTCGGGGCTTTTAGTGTCCCCGCGGCCCGGTCCTCGACCAGGCCTCCACCCCCAGGAAGCAGCCCGTGACAGCTGACTAACTCCCAGGTACCTATTTACTGCTAGGTAACAGGGGCATTCAGGGTGAAAGAAACTTTTTGCCCATTTGTTTCTGCCTCGTGCGGGAATCGAACCCGCGCCACAGAATTACGAGTCCTGCGCGCTATCCACCAGGCTACGAGGCCCCAACCCAACACGCGCGCAATGGGCGATACTATTTCAACTCTGCACAGGTCATGATAAACGCGTAACTTCGGCGCTTGCTTCGTCACTATTGCACTCATAGATAACGACGCTAATTTTGATATCTTAAATTAATACCAAAACCGTATGGAACCACGTGCAGGATTATTCAACAATATGCTTAGGCTGCAACATAAAATTAAATCACAACATGATTCGTGGAGGTTTACTCCACGAATCATTGCACTACATTTCCCTAAACAAATATAACAAATGCATTTTTAATGAATCATTAAAAATTGCAAGGAACACGTCCTCTATTGAAATTATCGAATTCAGTATAGCGTCTTCATATAAAAAATTAATTTATTTAAGAATTCTCCAGATTGTAATAGATATGTCTACAAAATTATTATCTAAACTTTAATAATTGTGGGCTATTGTGTGGAATGGGTCATGACGTCCTTTTTTTTTGTAAGTTGGAATTCGAACCATCCTATCTAATGGCACGATTGGCATATATTATAAAATTGTAAAAAAGAATCCAGTATGACTAATCCAGTATGACTATATAAAAATCAGATCTATTTCAAGTTACTAACAAAAATTAAAATTACAAAACATGGTAATCCTTTGTATAATTTCATACACCTTTGTATTCTTCTGTAACAGTCTGCTGGAAGATGATCCAAACTGATTTGACAGTTTGGATCTACTTAATCTACTCGCGGTCTACTTAATGGTCTACTCGCGACCGTTTCTTTTTATAAAGTGTTAAAACATTATTTTATGTTTTAAATAAATCAATATTTTATGTCACGTTTTTGTTCATGCTATTTCCTCTCGGTTGAATTATGAATATTTGTGCTTCAGTTGTGAAAATATATATTAAAGTTTTGTGGAGATTTTTAACGTGTAATAATTGTTTCGTCATAGGATTGTGAGGCCATGGAGGTGAAAGAGCCGGCCGAGGGTGATCGCCAGAAGTGGGGTAGCCAGCTGGAGTTCGTCCTCTCCTCTCTCAGCTATGCCGTTGGTCTCGGCAACATATGGCGCTTCCCGTACCTCTGCTACAGGAATGGTGGTGGTAAGTGTTTTTCTTTCTACGTGGTTCTCTTAATATATTTCCAGCTACATCAATGGTACTACTGTGTCACTGTGACTAGTAACATCTACTGTGTCACTGTGACACTCAGGAGTAATGGGCTATGGACTAGCATTCTTAAAGATTCTATAAGCCAAGAGCAGCTATCCTATATCAGCATTTATGAAAGCCTGGGCCCTAGTTGATCTGTTAAGATATTGTCTACGTAGTTATAAGCCTGTACTCTTAAGTGATTGGCTACATTCACATTTTGCTGGGTTGAAGGTGGACCCATCTATAGGCAGAGATTTTATATGTAAGTATTTAGGCCTTGATTTCTCGAATATATATTTATTTACAGGGCATATTTCAAATGCTAGTCAGCCAAAGAATGAATGATCGCCGCTATAGTGATAGTCTTGCGAATGTTACATCCAGATGCTGGTTGTGTCTACTGTTGTGATAACCGTCAGCTCATGGTTGTTCGTTGAGCCAACTGGGAACTCTCAGAACTATATTTGCCTTGAACATAACTATAACGTTGCCCACACCCATCGGTGTTGAAGATGCTCCTCTGACACGTCCAACTAGTACAGGCAACCTTACGTGGTTCTCTACCCAGAAAGGAATGATGGCAGGAAACAATAGTTAGTTTAGTTCATTTATTATGTACCCCATACCCAGCTTGTGGGCGGTAGTGGAAAGGGTTACGGAGGCACATAATGGGCTCAGGGACTGAACCCCACAATAGAGGAAACAATAGAGGTCCATACTCAAGGTGCGATCTTGTGCTTCGCAAAGTTTCGTAATAGCTGCTGGCGAACGGTATGTGATCCACTTTAGTGCTGTTAGCGTCTTCTGTCTGTCTGTATATGTATGTATATTGGATATAATATGAAGTATGTATATTAGATATAATATAAAAATACTTGGCTGTCCATGTGGAATGAGGGTCACACTGTCTGTCATGAACTAACGCTGGGGAAAGTGGAGCAAGAAATGCCACGGAGGCCCCCGAGGTGCTGCCATTTTTTTTTATAAGATTAGTTCACTTCTCAGAGTCTGACAGCCTAATAATACATTGTCAGTAACACGTGTATATAAAACCTAGACCGGGGAAAATATTATTGGTTTTCCTGTGAGCTTACTAGTTTATATATTTCCTACGATACTGCAGATTAGATTTCTGTTTCTCTCCCCCCTCTTTTGTTTGTTTCTGTTTCTCTCCCCCCTCCCATATATATATATATATATATATATATATATATATATATATATATATATATATATATATATATATATATATATATATATATATATATAAAGAGTTATTTACTTCCACTTCCTTATGTCCGGTCGTGATGGTCAAGCGGATTAAGGCGTCCTGTAGATACCAGTTGCGTTGCTCCTGGCAGTATGGGTTCGAGTGACTTCTGGGGTGTGAGTTTTCAGTCGCATATAGTCCTGGGGACCATTCAGGCTTGTTCGCATATATATATATATATATATATATATATATATATATATATATATATATATATATATATATATATATATATATATATATATATGCGGAAAATCCACAGAGAAATATGAAATGAGGTGCATGAGTATGTGCGACCTCATTTCATATTTCTCTGTGGATTTTCCGCATAAAATGATCAGTGTTTTGTGATCGTCAATTGCATATATATATATATATATATATATATATATATATATATATATATATATATATATATATATATATATATATATATATATATATATATATATATATATATATATATATATATATATATATATATATATATATATATATATATATATATATATATATATATATATATATACTAAATAATTTATTTATTTTAGAAACAGTCATTCTTGTAAACATATATTATTGAATGTGACAGCTTGAGAGCAATGATTCTATTATGACTCTTCTCTATTTCTTTTTTTTTCTCTTGAGAAGGTAATTGAAAAAGTAACTATCCAAAGTTTATTTTACAATTTTTTTCTGGCCTGATGCTACGAAATGTTTCGTTGACCCTTGTCAACATTATCAAAGGCAGAGTTCGAATGGTTACCAGTTTTTGTGCTGCCGGGTATATAACATTAGTGAGGTGCTTCACCTTCACCGGGATGAGGTGAAGGTGAAGCACCTCATAATGGGCCAATAGGTTCATTGCAGCTTACCAATCTCCTACGTTTCGATGATGGATGGGGGAAGTATATTGTATGTTTCGTCATGTTCTCCAAGATGGCAGAGTGAAGTTTGGCGTCAGGTGTTAATAGTTGGAGCTTGGTTTGCTTGATATATAATGCCTCGCCAATGTCCAGTCTTCAATTGTTGCTGTATTTGTCAATTATTTTGTTTGTCTGGATATCTCTGGTGATGATCAGGTTGTGTGTAAAGGCTTTGTTCCTTTGATAGAGTCTTGCTGTTTGTGCAAACAAACAGCATTTAGGCTCTATCAAGTATGTGCGCCCAAATGTGGTAGAAAGGCATATGCGCCCGAATGTGGTAGTGGAATAGTGCGCCCGAATGTGGTAGCGGAGTATGTGCGCCCGAATGTGGTAGCGGAGTATGTGCGCCCGAATGTGGTAGCGTAGTATGTGCGCCCGAATGTGGTAGTGGAATAGTGCGCCCGAATGTGGTAGCGGGGCATGTTCGCCCGAATGTGGTAGCGGAGTATGTGCGCCCGAATGTGGTAGTGGAATAGTGCGCCCGAATGTGGTAGCGGGGCATGTTCGCCCGAATGTGGTAGCGGAGTATGTGCGCCCGAATGTGGTAGCGGGGCATGTGCGGCCGAATGCAGATGTGCGCGTCCCAACGAAATTTGTTACGCATATATACTCATGTAATATCATTGATTTGTTTGCCCTAAAGCGCAGGTATTTTTTTCTAATACCTTTGGTATGATTTAATTAATTTTACAGTACAAACAAAACATTCACGTGCAGACGATGAGTCACAATAACGGGGCTGGAGATATGGTGACCGAACCACACACACGGAGATGAAGAGACGCGCGACGTTTCGGTCCGTCCTGGACCATTAACAAGTCGTATGTGACTTGATAATGGTCCTGGATGGACCGAAATGTCGTTATTTTTTCATCTTGTGTGTGGTTTGATCATCAAAACATTCATATTTTCGTGTAGTAGTTGTTGTTGTTGTTGTTGTTGCACATCTGCTTGCAGTGGTTTTCTTGGATTTTATTGTTGTTCCTCTTACAGTTCAGTTTTGTTGTGATTTTGTTCATTATATGTATGTATTCCCGGCGCCTTCCTCTTCCATTGTGAAGGGGTTACATGGTGCGTGTGTCGGGCTAGTCATAAAATGCTAAGAAATCTCCATCTTGCAGGATGGTTAATCATACCTGAATTTACCTGAAGGCCATTAACACTAGTGGACTCGACGAGGACAAGAAGCCGGCGGCTTGTCAAAGCTCCCCCCCCCCCCATATAATGTCTTGATTTTTTCCAGCTGCATTTTAATATTTAAGAGTTTTGTCATTTATTGCTTCGGCGGGTAGGCGGTTCTATGGGTGGGTGAAAAATCCCTGTGGGTGCAAAAGCATCTGTTTTCAGTCCTACATTGTGGCTTGAAATTCTTGCTTCTTATTTGTGTCACATCTGACCTTATGATACAAGGATATTTGATTTCATGAATGCAGGTGTACCTAAACATGTTAAGGCAGTAAGAGTACACAACATTTGGAAAGGATATGAGGACAAGAAGTTAGGATAAGACAAACGGAAGGAATGGTGCCCAACTACTTGGACCATCGGGAATCGAACGCTGACCTGCAAGAAGCAAAGCCGTCGCTGTACCGAGCAGTCTAAGTGGATGGGTCATCCTTGTATATAGATATAATGGAAGTTTTTATTAACACTCCCCTGATAGTTACCATTACAGGATATCTATAAATGAGAATATCTTGTCTGCCCAAAGTAGGAAGCCAGACACTAGGGGCTAGCCTCACATAACTTTTCAAGGTGATACAAGGGAGGCTTAGGAGTGTCACAGGACAGTCGGGGTTGGCCTCATGCTGTACAACCTTATAAAAAAATGTGTCTATAACGACCCACTTTTAGGATTTTCACGAATTTTGAAATTGTATATTTATTTTCCGTAGAGTTTTCATGGTTTTTACGCGTGTTCGTAATATTACAATTTCTGAGAGGGAGAATGTTTTTGTTGTTATAGATTAAACTACTCGGAACAAGTTCCAAGTAGCACGGGCTATGGTGAGCCTGTAACTTACCTGGCACAGGAGCGGGGCAAGTAGCACGGCCTATGGTGAGCCCGTAACTTACCTGGCACAGGAGCGGGGCAAGTAGCAGGGGCTATGGTGAGCCCTTAGTGGACTTACCTGGCACAGGAGCGGTGCTGTGTGAGTGTGATTAAAGGTAGGTAGTGTAGTGATGTTTCAGAAATGTGGAGAGAAGAGAGAGGGACAATGGAAGAAGGGGAGGAGATGCGAAAGGAGGGGAGTAGAGGATGGGAGGATGAAGAGAGAGAAGAGGGGCAGATATTTTTTATTTTTTGTATTTATATGTAAAAGAGTTCTTACATTCTTGTACATGGGGGAGAATAGGAGGGAGAAGGGGGGGGAGAGACTCGCGTGCGGGTACCCTCTCATCTAGTAATCAGAATAATCTATTGCCCATCACTAGTGACTGGCGTGATTCCTGGTTACTTACCAGTTAGATTATTGCTGACTTGATCGACACCTGACATGCACAGTGCTTAGTCGAGTCTCGAGTGTGCAATGCAAGCCCAGTGTACCGGGTAATATTACTTTAGTTTATTGTGAATATCTTGCCAGGAAATTAAGATTACAAATCTGCTAAACTGCTTACATTTACGAAATTATTTTGGTTGGCATCATGGTGATATTGATTTGGTCAGCGATGTTTTGGGGGACAGTCCAGCCCTCTCTGCCCTTGTTGTTATAAATTCAGCTACTCGGAATAGGTTCCAGGTAGCACGGGCTATGGTGAGCTCATAACTTACCTGACACAGGAGCAGAGCAAGTAGCACGGGCTATAGTGAGCCCGTAGTGGACTTACCTGGCACAGGAGCGGGGCAAGTAGCACGGGCTATGGTGAGCCCGCAGTGGACTTACCTGGCACAGTGCTCTCTCTGCCCCTGCAGAGAGCATAGGAAGGATAAGAAACATAGATGATTGTCATGCCCTTCAAGATGACCTGGACAAAATAAGTATATGGAGCACCACTTGGCAAATGGAATTTAATGTTAATAAATGCCATGTTATGGAATGTGGAATAGGAGAACATAGACCCCACACAACCTATATATTATGTGAGAAATCTTTAAAGAAGTCTGATAAAGAAAGAGATCTAGGGGTGGTTCTAGATAGAAAACTATCACCTGAGGACCACATAAAGAATATTGTGCGAGGAGCCTGTGCCACGCTTTCTAACTTCAGAATTGCTTTTAAATACATGGATGGCGATATACTAAAGAAATTGTTCATGACCTTTGTTAGGCCAAAGCTAGAATATGCAGCGGTTGTGTGGTGCCCATATCTTAAGAAGCACATCAACAAACTAGAAAAGGTGCAAAGACATGCTACTAAATGGCTCCCAGAACTGAAGGGCAAGAGCTACGAGGAGAGGTTAGAGGCATTAAATATGCCAAAACTAGAAGACAGAAGAAAAAGAGGTGATATGATGACTACGTACAAAATAGTAACAGGAATTGATAAAATCGATAGGGAAGAATTCCTGAGACCTGGAACTATAAGAACAAGAGGTCATAGATTTAAACTAGCTAAACACAGATGCCGAAGAAATATAAGAAAATTCACTTTCACAGAGTAGTAGACGGTTTGGAACAAGTTAGGGGAGAAGGTGGTGGAGGCCAAGACCGTCAGTAGTTTCAAAGCGTTATATGACAAAGTGTTGGTAAGACGGGACACCACGAGTGTAGATAGAAAATATCCTGTAACAACACTTAGGTAATTACACACACCCACCCAGGTTTATTATTTGTTTTATACGTGTATACAAGAGTTCTTACATTATTGCACAGCCACTAGCACTCTATATAGTGTTTCGGGCAAGTCCATAATCCTGTGTTCCCCGGAATACGACCTGCCAAATCGTTTAACAACCAGGTACCCATTTTACTGTTGGGTAAACAGGCTACAGTTAAGGATTGGCGCCCAGTAATCCTCCCCAACCAGGACACGAACCCAGGACAAAGCGCTCGCAAAACGCCTGGCGAGGGTCTTACTACTACGCCACTTACTACTGCTTACTGATGTCATTAATGGGAAATAGGTTTTTGGAAGTCATGTGGGATAAATGGCAATCATTCATTGATTGCTGTAGAATTTCTTGAATTGTGGGATTCTTTGGGGATCAGAGAGGGTCCCATTAGAACAGTCAGGTTCGTTCTCGACTCAGTCGAGAGTTGAACAAGAATTCAGAGTTCGAATCCCGGGCAGCACAGATATTGTAGGGCGTGTTTCCTTTCACCTCATGCACCTGACCACCTAGCAATAAATAGGTACCCAGGAGTTAGTCAGCTTGTTGACCTTATTTTGATCGTTGCCGCGGGAGGCGGATAGTTTATTGCACACCCCATACTCATTCTGTGAGAGGTATCGCAAAAATGATTACTGAGGGCACAAAAGGGCTTTATCAGACCTCAACGGAGATTATTACATTAACAACTTCATCTATCCTTCATACCTTATCATTACAATGTCAGCTAGTTACAGAGAATGCTGTTTCAAGAGCTATGTATTTACAGTAAATCATTATAAGCCCATCCTCCAAAAATGAGGTGGTAAATGTAAGTAGACAATTAAGTGCAATTATGTACTATTCATAGCAGTTAGGAATTGTACTTATTTCACTTAGTATTAAATCGTAGTCAAATATATTGTGAATATTTGAGTTTACCTGAAAAACTGAATAGAAAACCACAACCTCACCTAACCGTCTTAGTTATTGAAGATAATAATTTTATTGCTTCTTAATTACAATTAGTACTTAACCTATAGCTATATTGATATTACAGTTTTATAAAACTAATAAAACAAAACTAAAATATATCAATAAATTGTAAAGTAATTCAGGATATTTTAAAATTTTGTATAAAATCTATATTGTTTAATAAACCTGAAGAAGAAATTCCTGATATTTAAAACTTGTGTATAGGTAATTAAAGTTGGAAACTTCATTCTAAAATTCTGAGTCTTAACAGAAAACGAGGAGAATTAAATCTGGGGAGGGGTTTGGGTAAATATAACAGCCCCATAAGTGAAATTATGCACTGTTTATGACAGTAAGAAAATGTAATTATTACACTTAGTATTAAATCGTACTGTCAATTCGGAGGATGGGTTTTATACATAATGGTAGGCCTTATCGCTTATTATAAGGCTTAGCGTCAAATGCAAATTCGATGATATGGTTTATAACTTTATCTGTCATTGATGTATATCAATGACAAAAAGGGTTGGCCCCAAACCACTGCGGTACTCCAGTTTGTGGCCAACTGGAGAAATAAGGTAAATACTCCACTTACCACATTACTCTAGTCTACTAACTACTGTACATCCATACAGCCAAAGTGTAATAGATCAATCAGTCTTTTTGCTCTGTAACTTTTGTCTGTACTGTACAGTACATTTCAATTTATGATTTTTTTAAGTTGGTCTAATAAGTATAATTTCAGTAACGCTGTCAACAAGGTACTACCAGAAGCTTAGGAGTTTCTGCCCAGCTATAATAGATTGCCATCATAGGTTTATTGACAAACAGTAATTCTAGGAATTAATATAAAAATGACCACACTAGACCACCTCATGTTTAATTGCTCTTGGGTCTTGTGTTTCAGGGGCCTTCCTGATCCCTTACTGCATCATGTTATTCTTGTGTGGAGTGCCACTTATGTTCTTTGAACTGTGCCTGGGCCAGTTTGGTCGAGAAGGACCTATCACTGTGTGGAAAATCTGTCCTCTCTTCCAAGGTGAGTATATTACAGCATACAATATTTGATTCAGTTGTACACCTGTCAAATTATAATATTAATATTAATGTATTTATAAGCATACTATCTTTACTGTAAATTTTTATACTTCTATTTTTGAGAAGTTGTGTAGATGTTTAGATGATGTAAACAAAATTATACATGCAAAAGTAATACATTTAATGTTTTATTTTATTCTTCTCTTTATTCCTAATAGGCATTGGCTATGCTATGTTCATGATCAGCCTCTACATTGGCTGCTATTATAATGTGGTGTTGTCATGGGCAATCTACTACATCTACTCCTCCTTCACCCACACTCTACCCTGGACTTCATGTGGTGAAGACTGGAGCTCAGAATGTAAGTACATGTGCCCTTATATAGATCTAGTTGGGACTCCCTATATAGTCCTAGTCAAAGGATCAAGAGGAAATACAGTATGTTTGGTGCATTTATTAATTATGTTTAATGACTGACTAGTTTTTCATGATGGATAAGAGTGATCGCTTAACTTTCAATGTTTATCTTTGATTAACTTTTATCGTAGTTTGATTTAAAATTATACAATTTTCATGTCTGTTGCCATTTACAGTTTGCAGAGAATTCAGTTCACGGAATTGCACGATAAATGGCGGACTCATGAACCTGACTGGGACCTGTATATACCCAAATATGACGACCCATGAAGAATGGAGCTTGCTTAACAAGTCTATCAGTTCTCTCAAGAGTCCTGCTGACGAATATTTCCAGTAAGAACAAGTTCTCTGCTTTAGAGAAAGCATGTGGTCATACATTTAGTTTTATCTGCCAGTTTTAATAAGTCTAGTTTCTGACTAGGAAGATAATGGAAAAAGTGCCAAAAAGATTATATATATAAATTTTCCATGACATAGTGGAATTTGGTTAATTAATATTGTATAACTAATGTAGCACTAGAAAGCCATGTACTCTTAATAGCTAATTAAAATATTTAGCAGACAACTTTAGATTATAATAATCCAGAAACCAAACATTTTAATGTTAATATATCTTCAACATTCTTTCATGAACGTTTTGGCAATTATTCTTACAGCAAAAATGGTTGAGCAACAGTTTTTAGAGCTGTACATTACTGTACTGATAAGTGTATCTTGCATGTTGTGCTCCTTAGCAATCATGTCCTGGACATCACTGGAGGCATTCATGACATGGGAGGCTTCCAAGGAAGAATCGTCCTTGCACTCTTTGTTGCTTGGATCATTGTGTATCTGGTGCTTATCAAAGGAGTCGAAACTTTTGGCAAGGTAAGAGATGTTACTTGTGGCTTGCTTTAATGTTGTTTGTGTCATCATCACACATTGAGTTATCATTTTTCCCTTTAGGACAAATCTTAAAGGATTATACAAAAAAGTTTGCAAGGTTCTGTTTTACAAATCACTATATGTCTCCTCACTGACTATTGTACTTATTTTATCAAATTTACATAAAATTACACATATTCAAAATATTTATCTTATTTTAAACATTTATTTTTAAATAATTTGTAATATATAATGTACAGTATAACCATTATATGCTTCCAGGCTGTGTACTTCACTGCCACTTTTCCCTACCTGATCTTAATTGTGCTGCTGGTCCGAGCAGCTACACTTCCTGGCTACATGGATGGTATAGCTTTTTATCTCACTCCTAAATGGGATAAGCTTCTTAAAGCAAGCGTAAGTACCTAGTGTGACATCGTACAGTATTGAAGCTTTTCCGGCACTCCTCCATAATCCTCAGTCTTGTTACCTAAAGCCAGCTTCCATGACTATATAATTGTCTCAATTAAGTCCTTCCATTTCTCAATGATAACCATGTTAAAACTAATAGACACCAGGAGCCAGAGAGGACAAGACTATAAACAGGGGTTGCACAGAAGAATGAGCATTATTGAGCAGAACTACACTGTCATGAATTGCTTGACAGGTCTTGGATCACATTAATAATCTACCCGGTAAATCATTGATATTAATAGAACCTTTCAGGGAATCAACTGGACTTTTAGAGTACAGCAGATCCTTGCTATCAGTGAATGTTGTTCCACAAGCACACAGATGCACAGCTGGGCATTTCCTTTCATCTGATGCCTCAGTTCACATACCAATAAATAGGTACCCAGGAGTTAGAGAATTGTTGTAGGTTGCATCCCAGGGAAATCAATAGTTAGCCTAGGGGGACCTTGATAAGCTAAATTATAAGCTTTCTGTTCCCAATACTGTATGAAGCCTTACTGTACGTAATGTATGAAGTGTAAAGTAGATTTGCACACTCGTCTATGATGTAGATAAGAGTAAACATTCCCTTTCATTTCTTCATATACGGGGATGAGGGAGGGAGCATCCTTAGGTGCAGTAGGAACTGAAATATTGTTGGAATGCACCACAATACAAGAATATAATCTTAAAAAATATGTAAAACACAAGAAAACCATTGGAAACTGGTGAATACTGAATTTAGCTTGTGTTTAATGTGTTTGAATTAAATGTCTGTCATGGACAGTGAAATTCATAAATACCGAAGTCGTGGATAGTGAGGGTCTGCTCTGTATTTAATATGCAATGTTTCTTTGCTTGTTAATTTACCATGTATAATTTCTACTTTATTTTTAAGTGTCCCATATAGTATCCCATACCCACATCTAAGTTTGTTTGCATGTCTGTCCATGTCATGTGTAATTATGCACCATTTTTACTGTACTCTTTAATTTGAAATTTTGACACTGAAGATCCTTTTTTTTTTTTTAACTTTTTAATTATTTTTGCCTTTTCTATTGGAGCTTGTCTTCTCTACCTCATAAATTATTCAATCGTTAGCACACATAATGCCAAATAATGTGACAAAAATTAGGCAGAGGGATAGAGCATAAAGAAATTACTGTACAGTAAAATAAAATAACCATAATTTTTGGCATGTTTTTTCCCTGTTTGGTTCCGGGCTTCATGCAGCCAACACCTTTTTCAATATTTTTCTTCCCATCAGGTTTGGGGTGATGCAGCCATCCAGATCTTCTTCAGTTTGTCACCGTGTTGGGGTGGCCTCATAACACTCGCATCTTATAACAAATTTAACAATAACTGCTACAGGTAAGCTGATATAATGACTTTCACTTTATGCTCTTATTAATGTTTCTTATCCGTTTTACCTGAATTTACCCGAGGGCCACTAACACTAGTGGCCTTGACAAGGACAGGAAGGTGGTGGCTTGTCGAATGTCCCCCCCCCCCCTCCATTTACCTTCGTGATCTTTTCCAGTTGAATTATTAACATTTAACAGTTTTGGCATTTATGACTTCGGTGGGTAGGCAGTTCCATGGGTTTATAATCCTGGGGTGAAAAAGCATCTCCTGTTCTCAGTTTACATTGTGGCTTGTTGAGCTTGAAAACGTTGCTCCTTGTTTGTTACATCTGATCTTTTGAAGAAATTGTCCGGATCAACATTCTCCAAATTGTTCAGTATTTTAAAAGTTTAAATGAGATCTGTTCTGTCATGCCTGGACCCCACACGTGCAAGGCCGATAGAGCTTCGACCTCACACACGTGAGGTCCACGGTTAGTCTCCTAGAGTCCAGGTGAATAGAAAATGTCTTAAATTCCATTACTATGGAGTTGGGACACATTTGTGGAACTCATATACAGTAGCTAGCTTTGTGAGGCCTTGATATAATTTTTGCTTCTCATTTTACTATAGATCTTTGCCATCTGTAAATATGATGTGATTTATGATTTTCTTGCCCCATGTTGATGTGCATAACAAAGTAGTGTTAACCACGCACAACCAACTGTACCACAGTTGGTTGTTTTTATACCACAACCAAGTAGTGGTTAGATGTGGTACAAACAGTTGCGAATATTTTCACTTTTAGACTTCCCCCAGTAAGAATTCTGCTTATCTGGTGGCTGGGATACTTTCCATGTAGTTCTGAAACGCAAGCTAATACAGTACAGTACTTGGAATATTTATTCTTAACCTTTACATATATGGAATTTCTGTTTGAAAATTTACTCAAAACTGTTTCTCACTATGAAAACAAATATTTTTAATGGTATAGATGGAAATAACAGGTCTCTCTTATTTGAAATGTAATTAAAAATATGAATCAAATTAATATTAATTTTTAACGATGCTACCGTAAGAGTACAGTACCATATTTATACAACTTATATTTCATCATGTTTGTTATATCTATATATTTTATCCTTTTCAGGGATGCATTTGTAGTTTCCTTGGGTAACTGCCTTACCAGTTTCTTTTCTGGATTTGTCATCTTTGGAATAATCGGGTTTATGGCTCACGAGCTGGGACTTCCGGTGGACAAGGTCGCAGTGCAGGGTATGTAGTAAAGCCTCTTCCCACAATGGTATCTTCCTCTCAATCTTCTTCAGGGTTAGCTGTATCCTATAGGTAACTAGAATTAAGATTCATACATAAAAGTGACTTGAATCAGTTCTGCAAAAGTAAAGTCATAAATTAAAATCCCAAATAGATTGTGAGGCTTCAGGAGGTTTTATTCAATGGCCATAAAATGGAGGCTGACAAAACAAAAATTGTCTCTTCATTTTACCCATGTTATCAAACACACTTGGCCTCTTTGGTTTCATCACTGATATTCAAGTATGTTTTTATGGAGATTCTTTTCTAGAGACTGATTGTTGCTTGTCTTAAGTAAATGAAGGTGTTTTGTCATTGCAAAATATAGTACAGTACAGTATCAAAGTTTTCTACTAAGACAGGCCCCCAAACACTCAGTCTCCTGTTACCTCATAGGAACTCTGGCTCACATGTCGTCCATTTTAAGACAACTTTGTTTAGTGGTCTTTATAAAATTCAAAGATAATTTTTCAACAAATTTAATGTAAAATTAACTGTAGTACAAGCTACAACATTGCTTAGACATTGATTTATTATGGTGTCATGTGAGCCAGCTCTCTAGACGACAGTCTCCATGTTACAGTAAGTCACAGACCAAGGTATTTCAATGACTTAGTTTGTGCTATAAAATTTGCAGCACTGTAATATTAAAGATAACTATTTAAAGTATTGTACATCACTTTGGTCATCTTTTCTCAAACCTGCCACTTTCAGATCCAAATATAATCCTGAATTTTAATTCCATTACCAGAAACCCAAAGACATAAATTCCTCATGTCATGTAGTAAGTATTCCCACATCTTCCAAACACCCATACTCTTTAAGCGAGCTGAATGAACTGGTACGTATGCCACTGATATTATAGGTTTATGTAATGCCAGTCAGAAAGCACAGTCCACAGGTAAGTCAGAAGTACAAGTGTACTACTGAAGGACAAAGGAAAACTACCAAGTTTTGCCATTAACATGGTGTATATATAATACATTACAATTTCTCACTTTCCGTATTTTTAGCAAACTTGCTGGTGATTGGCAAGTTTAGCAAACTTGCCAAATTTTTACAGTTGCCAATGATTGATTACAAGTTATATATTTGACAGTTACAGAGAGGAGAACTACAATTATTGTAATATGCTTTTGTAGGTAAGCCTTTAATAGTACTTTATGTATTTTGTAGTGTGTAGTTCACTATTTTAGTCTTGGGCCCACTTGGATACTGATATCTTGTGCGCTCTGGCACACTCACGCATCCTTGTCTATCACTGGTGTGCCTTACCATTTGTTCCTTGGCGAATTGGCCTGGGCACTGTGGGCGCGTCGCCTCACCATCACCAGTAGGGTAGCATACCTCCACAAACAGTTCTGATGTGGAGTCGTTTTATGCACGTTCTAGGAGCGGGCCTGGCGTTCGTGGCTTACCCCGAGGCCGTGGCCCGCCTGCCTCTGTCGCCGGTGTGGTCCATCTTGTTCTTCGCCATGTTGCTGACTCTGGGTCTTGGCACGCAGTTTACTATCCTAACCACCATCACCACCACCATTACTGATGACTTCCCAGCCCTGCGCGGCAAGAACTTCAAGTGAGTCCACCCGCCAACACCTCACCGGCAACATTCTTCCCAAGCCATGTATATATTAACATTGTGGGATGAACCTACATGTGGTATGTGACTGTGTGACTAACCTTCATTCATGGCAGGGTATCAGTCATCTGGAGGATTTGGCTAGAAGGCCATGTTATTTTTATTAATATTTTGTATGATAATTTCTTCCCCATACACAAGCATCCAATATGCAACCACTGCAGGTGACCAGAAATGCTGGCACGGACTTTCCTGCTTCATAAATTATTTTGATTATTTTTTTGCTAAGGCAATAGTTACCACAGGTTCATTGGTGTCATATGCCCCAACCTGGCACAGGCAGCCAGTTCTCTTAACTAATGACCTCCCAATGGCTCCTTGGTAAACACTGCCACAGCTTGCTAAGAATATTAATCATGACCTTCTACTCAGGAAAAAGTACCATACCAAAATCCTCTGCCTTCTTGATGGAGTGTGTTCACAGAACACTAAAGTGTGCCATAACTGCTCTCTTACTTCACCAAATTTGAAATGTGATATTTACCTGTGATGAATCTTTAATATTTCTAATTAGCAAAATTTAATTATGTTTTTGTGATATAATATGTTTCACATTTTAATAATAAGCCATGTGGCTTTTGCTGCCCTATGTTCCGAGCTGATGTTATGGCCTGTTCTACAGATGGGCACTCTTGGGATGCTGCTTGATCATGTTTGGTGTGGGACTCTCCATGGCAACAAAGGGTGGGATGTATGTCCTGCAGATGATGGATTCCTACTCTTCTACCTTCTCTGCTCTCATGGTTGGCGTGGCCGAGGTAAAAGCTTCTAGCAGCTCAGTATAAGAGCAATTTAAATTCTATTAAATATGATAAAATGGTGACTCATGAGTTTATTTGTATACATGTACCATGGTTTATATAGAGTTGTGGCAAGTCTTCTTCTTGTATGTTCCTTTGTCATTTAACCTTTCCTTCACTGTTTTTATACCCATTTCTACTTTCATATTGAAACACCCATGTAATAAATTTTTCTTTACAACAATGCCTTTCTGGGGTTGCTTTTTTTTCCTTGTACAAGGGGGAATGCACTACAGTATTCTTATACTGTACAGGGCATTGTATCTTGTGTATTAAACTTGAGAACACAATATAGCTTCATAGGTGCAAACAAATAATTTGGCATGACTGGCATCATGCCATTTGTGTAAGTATGTTCACAAAGATTTTCTTAACGGCATAATTTCCTAAAAAAAAAAGTTAGCAGTGAACACCATATAGCAATAGGATCACTGATAAATTTCAGTACAATGTACAGTACTTTCAGTGCTTTAAAAGAATATGAAACCTTGGCTCATTCTGTTTTTAAATTTGCTTAAAATAACTACAGTAGCAAATACAGTGTGCTGTTCCAACAAAATAAGAGGATTACAGTGTACTGTAATCCTCTCATTTTGTTGGAACAGCACACCTCTTATCTATTACTTTTGCTCAGCATTCAGAAGAAACTTGCAAAGATATGATATGTCCATGAAGTATTATTCCTCTCATTTTTTCAAATAAGTAATCAATCTCTCAGTATTCTGAATAAGTAAACCTGAAAAAATAAATGTCCATAAATATGTCAGTATGACTCCTTGTTTTTCAAACAGGTGACAGTGGTAACTTGGTTGTATGGCATTGACAACTTCTTAGATGATATTAAGATGATGTTAGGGTTCTACCCATACCCAAAGATCTTCTGGAAGTACATTTGGAAATTTGGAATGCCTTTAGTGGTACTGGTAAGTATATAAATATTATAATGCAGATTTCATAATGTATAAGTGCAGCGTTAATTAATCTAAATGTATAGGGGGGTAATAAGTTTCTAAGAGTATGCAGATATTAAAGTTTTTAAATTACATGTTGAGCATAAATCAAGTACAGTATATGATTCTGTACATATTAATAGCACAAATTATAAGACTTTTCTCAAGTTAAACAAGAAATTTCATAACTACTGTATATAAATTACTCTTAACCATCAAAATACTGAGAACAATATTGAAATTAAAATAGACCACTTAAGTGTGAAAACTAAAACAAGTATTATGATAAACTGGATTCTGTGGTTGACTAAACAGTAGAAAGATTTCTAGGGAATGTGACTTGTATATACAGTATTGTATATAATACTGAGGGTCCCGGTAAAAGTCTGGTTCATTCTCGATTCACAATCAAGAATTCCAGGTTCAAATCCCAGGTAGAACAGAAATGTTTGGGCACATTTCCTATCACCTAATGCATCTGTTCCCCTAGCAGTAAGTAGGTACTCAGGAGCTAGTCAGCTTGTTGTGAAGTGGCATCCTGGGCGGGGTCTGTAATTCGACCTTGTGGAAAGGGCGGGGGAAGGGGGCTTGATATAAACCTGATGTGTATGAATACACTCTGGCTGCCTGTCCCCCTGACACAATGAATTATTATAAGAACATCAGGAGATTAAATCACAATGATGATTACATGGAGATTTTACCTCAAGACAAATAGAAGCTGGTAGTTTTGAGTGTGATGTTATTTTAGTCATTATATTGTTGCTTGCAGAGTGGCTTAAAATGGTACAGTAAATAGAATTTTTAAAAGTGAACACAAGTTCACATACTATGGAAGCCTCTGTAAGAATATGTAAAGTTTAGTTAAAATACAATTGATAAGAGGTCTAAATCTGAACTTATTGAAAGGAGTAAATAAACATGTACATAGTCCATCGAAGAAAGGTACAAATATTTGAGGGAACTACACAAGCTATATATAAGAGATGATGGATCAGCTGGGTTGTGATGGCTATGTGTGGGTGCAAGTGGCAATAATATGACTGATCATACAGGCAACGTGACCTTTGGTTAGGTTACTAGTGACAAAACTTCAAAACCATGTGTAAATATATCACAGTTTACTCTACAGTGTTGAGAGGATATGTAAGAGAACACAAAGAAACCACTTTTGTGCATAATGTCTGATGCAAACAAGCAGGAAAGATGTATGGAAGTGTCTAAGTGGACTGATATCTTGTAAATGAAAAGGGTTGTTTAATAGATTTAGTGTTAGAAGGTTATGATGTTTTCCTGATTTTGGCACATTACAAAAGAAAAATAGACAAAAGGATTGATGTAACAGATTCATATTCTTGCACAAAAATCTTATACTTCCCCCATATTTAATCATAGCTACAAATATTGGAACTAACAGATTTGTAATTTTCAGACAATTTTAATCTTCTCCTGGATCGACTTTGTCCCAGCAAGGTATGGAGATTATGAATTTCCACCTTGGGCCAATGGTGTTGGTTGGATGTTGGCTATGTCATCAGTATCCCTCATACCCATTGTCGCGGTCTATAAATTGCTACGAGAGAAAGGCTCCTTCATTAAGGTAAGATCATCCATCCTGCATATAAAACTCTTGGTCAGTAACAGTTGTTATGGATTGATGATTCGTGAGTTAAGATGTGCATACAATTAATCATGATTGGTTATTAGTACTGTACTTTACACATACAGTACATTTTCAATTTTTAAGTCATTACCCAAGTGTTATTACAGAATGAGAGCTACACTTGTGGTGTCCCAGTGTAAGGGAAGGCACATAGCTTCCAAGCCATACACTGGAGTACAAACTATCAAAACCTGTCCTTTACTTTTGTACTTGCTGTATATATTCATTACTTTAAATCAGAAATATAGAACTAATGTTTATTATAAAGAAACACCTCAAACACAAGAGTAAACACTGGGTTGGTACTGTATTTTGAATTGGCGGGACATAAACAAACGAACAGAACGTGCATTACGGAATAATTTCACTCGCCAGATTTGACTACTAAACTGTACTCCAGTTACATGGAAAACCAGGGTAAATAACCTCGTGAGTGAGGTGTGCACCTCACAAGCACACACCACACATGCGCACAGCACACACCCTCGGTGGGTGAAGTCTAGTCACTCTGTCCTTGTGGGGTGCAGGATGCTACCCTCACTAAAACCTGCAGGAAAATTTTGTGCACACAGAAGCATACTGTAAATATTTACTAATACTCAATTTAACATACTTGTCAACACTTACAAATGAAACAAAAATTAACAAAAATAAAACAAGCTGGTATTTTAATCTAGAGAGAGACATTTAGATTATTAACAACAAAAGCTAGACTTTACATACCAGCCATTACACCAGTCTCCTGTCATGTGATGCTTTGAAACTACTGATGGTTTTGGCCTCCAGCACCTTCTTACTTAACTTGTTCCAACCGTCTACCACAGTTTGCAAAAAAAGAACATCCTAATATTTTTTCAGCGCCTTTGTTTCCTAAGCTTTACTTCTTGTGCTTGAAGTTCCAGGTCTCAAGAATTACTCTTTGTTAATTTTGAAGATTCCTGTTATTATTTTCTATGTAGTGATCATATCACTTCTTTTTCTTCTATCTTCTAACTTTTGTATATTTAACACCTGTAGCCTCTCCTAGTAGCTCTTGCTTTTCAGTTTCAGAAGCCATTAGTAGCATGTCTTTCTACCTTCTCCAGCTTATTGATGTGCTTCTTGATATATATATGGGCACTATACTACCACTGCATATTTCAATTTTGATACCATGAAAGTCATAAACAATTTTAATGTTTTATCATCCTTATACTGTATTTAAAAGTACAGTAGTTCTGAAGTTTGAAAGCATAGCATATGCTTCTTGCAGTGTCCTCAGTTGACAGTACTATCCAGAATTGCCCCTAGATCTTTGTCAGTCAGTCAGTGTGTGTGTGTGTGTGTGTGTGTGTGGGGAGGGGGGGGGTGAGTGTGTATGTGTCAGGTGCTTCCTCAGTCAGTAATATGGACAGTAATATTTGGATTGTAGTGGATATAAACTAGAGCTATAGTGACATTTTTCAGGCCCAAATTTGAGTCCCCAATGATTAATGTGAATGACATATAGTAAATAATAATGAAGGTATAGTTATACACTAATATAACTTCTGTATCAAATCAAATACTCTTTGTAATACTGTGTAATAGGTATTCAATTTCTTATTATTTATGATAAAATCTCATCACAATTTATCTCATGTACTGACATATACTGAACATATAAATAATTTACGACCAAGGATGCATTAATATTCTATGATACAATATTGTAATCCTGCAGAGGATAAGGAAGCTGATTCGCCCCTTGCCTGAGTGGGCTCCACCTGGTGATGTCTGCATTAGACCTAACGATTCATTTGGTGCCAAGCCTCTTCTTAAAGTCACATCTTTTGGTAAGTTTAATTTAATCTTCTTTTAACATAACATTTCTACTTCTCAACTTTACACAATAAAGCAGTACAGTAATATTATCGTGCTGGAGTTCCACACCCAGCACGTACTGTGTAGTATTTGTACTGTGTAGTATTCGGTATATAAATTAATAATTTTAGCATTATAAAACAAAATTTTGTTTTTTAAACATAAGAAATACGATTGTGAAAGAAACTGTGTGTATATTTTCATGAAGTACATTTTCAAGAATTGTGAAAACAAAACTAGGTGAATTTTGTCTTTACCACTGAGAGTTGAAGTCAGCTGTTGCTTTAGCAACAATTCTGATGAAAATTAAGCTATTGCTTAACAACATTAGGGTCTCAGTAGTACAGTTGGATTCATTAACTCAATTGGGAATTCCAGGAGGAACAGAAATGATTGGGCATGTTTCCTTTCACCTGTGCCTCTGTTCACCTAGCAGTAGATACCAGGGAGTTAGTCAACTGTTGTGGAGATACATCCTGGGGAGGGCCAGTAGTTTGATAATTAGGGGACCTTAATTAAAATGGACTTGACCATATATATTTTTTTTAATACCAGATAAATATTAAAGTTTTTCGGGGTGGAGCAAGTTTTCCTAGTCCTTCAAAATATAGTGGAACCACGGTTTACGAATGCCCCATTACAAATGTTTTGGTATACGAAGTCAATTTCCTTGTAAAATTTGACTTGGTGTTCGAAGTTTGCGTGGGAATAGGAGTGTTTGTTGATACATGTATGGGTCAAGCGCGTGGGTTCTGCTGGGTGCGGGGCAAAGCACGCTTAGTTTACCAGTTTATCCCGCCTAGTGGTGACCACGCTTGAATTCTTCGTGAAGAATTTCATTTTTTTCCTGCTTTTTGGGCTTCTGAACATAAAAGTTCTTATTATATATCATGCCATGGGGTCAGTGGTAAAGTAAAAATGTGTGCAGTATGGGAAGAATGCAAAGTTTTGCTGTAAAGATTCGCCCAGATAAAGCTGTAGCAGGCTGTTGCATTAACCTTTTTAATGACAATGTGATGTCTCACTACAGCCAAGAGTTAAAGTGTAGCAAAAAACAAAAGTCTGTAGACAGATTCTTAGCAAGACAGGTCCGAATGATATGCCTGCAAAACAGAATCCTTCCAAACACTAACACCTCTCCTCCTCCTCCCCATCTTCTATACGCTAACAAGAGTCCTCAATAAAGGAAAGGTATAGTAAAAAATATGAGTACTGTAGTATTCTGTATAAAATGTATTTTTAAATTGAATATTTTTGAGCGAGTGTTGACTTGATTAATTCAATTTACAGTACTGTACGGGAAAGCAAGCAAGTTTTTAAGTTCCTGTTGAACCTTGGGAGTACAGTATGTGTGTAGAATATTCATTTAGCTTGCCCAAATGAGATTTCCAAGAATTTGGATGTCTCATGCCATTATGAGACATCTATGCCAGAAAAAAAATGCCTGCTTAATCTTATTATGATGGTTTGAGTAATAATGCACATATGAGCACACATTGGTAGGTTTCCTATGCACATTGAATTTGTAACTCCTACCAATTCCATGAATCATATTGCCTAAAAAGGGCAGAACACTATTTTCTTCATTCTCATTTGTGAATCAAATAGAAGGAACAAGCAAATGAAGTTGATTAAGAAAAACTGTTTGGTCATGGTTAACCAGCTAAAGGCACAAAATATCAACGTATCTACCTACACCACATTAGAGGGTAAAATCCTGGCCAAGATTTTTGTTTAAAAAAAAAAAACTCCATGTACAAATTGCTTAAAACCTGGGAGAGGGGATTACCAATACCCATATTCACCAATTTCAATCACTGAAGCATTTCCATTATTAATTATTAAAAGGAAGAGCTGTTCCATAACATAGCATAACATGCCTCATTTTAACACCACATACGTTGCTGTTAGTACAGTACCAGATATGTTCTTAGCAAAACAAATTATCAACTTTTCTATTAAAGGAAAATGCTAGGAAAGACATTCTTTCAGTAATGGAGTGGCACTCCAGTATATAGCTTTATGTGATGAGAGAACACATGAGTGGGCAGGTTCACAGGCATGATGCATACACTGCAAAAGGAAATAAAATACCTTATTTTAGCAGGGAAATACACTATACCTCCTTTAAATGTAATTTCAGCAGTCAATAATTATTTTTAATAATTTTAATTTTCCTTCTGTAATAATTTTTAATATAATTCATGACATAATTAAAGGCCACCATATGTCAGTACCTTGCAGTATAACCCACTACTGTAATTTGAATTTTCTCTTTAATTAAATGAACAAGAACATGGACTTAATTTTGGGTGAATTACCCAGAGATCTGAGTTACTGATGCCTGAATTAATAAGCTCCTACTGTATTAAAATTTATTGTGTATGATCATCAGTTTATCATACTGGATGAAATGAGTGGATATCTTACCTTTAAATTACAGTAAATTATAGCTAAATTTTAAGTTAAATGGCATTTAACTAATCAAATACAAGAAGAAATTCAAATGAATTACACGCAACTATGTTGAATCGAGGAATTCAAACAAACCAATTATGTGGCATCACATGTATCTAAAACAAATTAAATGTTCATGCAAGAGATAACTTTATTACTCACCTGTTAATGTGCAGTTCTCAGGGCTAATACTAATACACACTATCTGAGGCCTAAGAGTACTAGTACTGTACATGTGTGTGCTATACTAGACCTAGGAATATTTACGATAAGTTTGTTTAGCTTAATTTTTTGGACTATAAAGTTGAATAGTACCAAATTCTACTAATTGCTTAGTATATAAATTTTTGTACTATAGGCCACATAGTTATAAAAAGTACTATCTAAACAGGAGGATGGATTGTTTTATGAGTGTATACTCAAGTACTGTAATTATTAATGCTTGATTTCTCCTTGCAGATGAAGACACCGTGAATAAAATATAAAAGACACAGATTCTGTTAAACAGGATTGTTAGCATTATTTCCAAGACAATATTTGTATCTGCACTAAAGACAATCCACTGTGATGCTGACTATGCTACAGTAACCAGAAGCATAGATACTTTTTAGAGTAGCCTTTTCTATGTTACAGTATTTATATTTAGACTTGAGTCATTTTCATTAATAATATAATTTATTGGTGTAATGAAAACTGACTATCATGGGCATTTTTTTTTTTTTTTGTCTTTCTAGTTAGGAAAAAAAAAAAGCACCAAAGAGTAGATGTGTACCTGTACCTTTTATATACTTGGTGCAAAATAAAAGTTGTTGTTGAACTAGAGGTATTTTTTCTGCTAATTTACAATTAATATAAAAGTTACCCCTGTGTCTTGCAAGTAACTTGAATTATCAGTTATTCATGTGTAAATACCATATACAAATGAGTGGAAATAGTACCTGTATTTTATTCTCATTTGTTATAAGAAAACAAACATTCTGTAACATGATGCATCAAATAAATAAATTATTATTAATTAATTGTAAAGCTAAATCTGGACTACTATCAAAGTCTTGCAAAGGGAATAATGTCACATACCCATTTTTCAAATGCAAAACTAGTTGAAATTTTCATAATATTGTCACATTCAAAATGGTTAGAGTAGCACAATTGGAAAGAGCATTTTCATGTAAATATTGTATTTTGCCTTGACAGTTTTTTATGCATGAGATCAACACCTCTATTTTCATATTGTCAAAATACTTCATAAAAAAAAGGCAATGACTGATTAAACATTATACAGTATTTATACTATTGTCTTGAGCTTGTGGTAATTCTAAATGTTACGAAAGTTTGAATAAGTGTATGAGAAGTCAATACAGTATTTTATTAACAAAATTTTTTTTGTTTTAAACTGTACAGTATATGAAATGTCACTACCTAGAAGTTTGATGTTTAATAATTTTAACAGAAATTAATATTAATCTTTTTAATCCAAAAAAGATGAACACTTTATATTCTTATGTTTTAATTAAGAATAGGTATTATTTACTATTTTATTATCATATATAGTATTGTACCCAAAATATACAGAAGTTTGTAACAGAAACAGATAATATTAAGAAAATGGGAAGTGCAATACTTAATGAAATATTGTTATATTGTCTCAATTTAGAATCAATGTAATGTTGGCAATGTTTCATGTTTGTTAAACTTAGTTCAGAAGGTCATATTTTTGTATAATTTATGTTGTTTAGGTGTATGAATATCAATGTATGTAACTTGTATAATTCAGGGCCTGGATATTGAGTGCCATTTCCAGAATACATGCATCACATTTCTCACTGTGTACAAGAACTGACAATTTTAATTGACGAGTGAGAAAATTTTAATGAAAATATTTTGATTTGTACAGATGGAAAAGTGTTGAATTTAATTCATGTCAAGTAATTCAGAATAGGTTATAATGAGAAACAAATACTGGACCACCAGAAGGAAAAGATGGGCTCGGATGATGATCTTGGTAAGGCATTTAGAAAAGATAACCAGTGGGCACAATATCCAGGAATAGTGCTGGTTTGATGCCGAATCAACGTCGTTAGCGTTGTATCAGTGTTGATTTAGCGCCACTCCCGGATATTGTTCCCGCTGGATACTTAGTGTGTGCTGCATTTATAGATTTGAGGAAAGCATACATTTTAGTGAATGGAAAAGGAGTGCAATTATGACTGAGGTGCTGCCATTACATCACAATACAAAGAGTAGTGGTTTAAAGAAATGGTTTAAAGGCCAGGGGTGTGAAGAGGTCAAGTACCATTAGCACCAAGTCAATTTACAACCATTTACAAAGTTTTTGAATATATATTTATATATAATATGGATGATAAAAGAAAAGTATGAGTCTTCATGGCACAGACCAGTATTCAAGAGGATAGTTTACCTGGAGAATTGCAAAGAGAATGGTCTTTCTTATCATTTGCAGTACGCTCATTTTATCAAAGCTGACAGTTAATGTTTAATGTTAAGATGGTGGAAAACACCAGTGCAATGTTGATTCTGCATTTATTATAATATCAATAAGTTTTTCTTAGCCCAGTGCTGGGATGGGCAGTCAATCAGGACTGAAGTGTAATAAATGCTTAGTTATGATGTGGAGTGCAAGTATGATGCAAATTTTTAGATGATGATGAGAGACATGTAGGGAAAAGATGGTGCAATGTAAGACTTGCAGTATGTTTATTACATATGCCTGAATTTTTTTTTTAGCTAGCAATCGTCAATAATTCCACAGTACTGTATATATTATTCTTATATATGCAAATTAACTTTCTAATGAAAGTTTCATAATACTGCAAGGTATTAAAATCACTATTGTAAATATAAATTTTGTTAAGTTGTCACCAATATTTTATTTTTATATATTTTGTTGGCACATGATTGTGACATGTTTCATAAGAGAATGAAAATGTTTTTTTAATAAGCTGGTTATCTTGGTGGTAAAAAGAATTAAATTTTGGGACTCGCTGAATTCTGTTGAATCTCCAATGTTGGGCCTTTTTTTTAACAATTATCAGACTGCAAAAATTAAAAAAAAAACTATTTGGTACTATTTTAATTTGAAAAATATTAATTTTAAAGATCTAACTGTAAAAAAATCCCATTACCATGTAGATAATACAAAAAATTATATATATTATATTATATATATATATATATATATATATATATATATATATATATATATATATATATATATATATATATATATATATATATATATATATATATATATATATATATATATATTATATATATTATTATATACATACAAACACACACACACACACGAATACAGGTATAAGGAAAATTTTAACTTACTAGTTGTGTAGAAAATGAAAATTGTGTGTATTGTACTTACAAATATCCTATCATCAGGCTACGCTGTGGCCAAACACAAAAATATATGATACAGTATTTGCAAATTTTTAACACTGTATAACCATAAACAGTATTTTCTTTAATTTAAAAAAGTAGACATTTTGGTTCTGTTGGTTAATATTTGTAGAACATGGGTGGAGAATTTGAAGGCAATTTGAACATAGGAATAACAGTTCAAGCAAAGTTCAAATGTGATCAGTTGGAAGCTACGTATAAAGTATATTTTATTCATAAATAGGGTTTGGCGACTGGGTTAACCAGCAGTTTACCATTGGTTGAGGACAAGCTGTATGAGGAATGATGAGAATTCACCAAGACTGGTGTGCAAACACTGAGGAATACTGTCACACTGTCTAAAGGAATGGGAATGTTCAGTAAGCAGAAGCGTAGAAACATTACTGTTGTGCTTTTTAAGATAAGGATTTTATGCACTGTACAACAAATATTTGTAAAGATCATTCAGCCAACTTCTAAAATTACCTCCTTATAGAGATAGTTCTAAGGAAAATGGTTGACTGACCTGGTGGTACAATACTATGGTGCATCAAGCCCACAGTATGAAATAGTGCTAAAAGTATTAACTGCACTCGCCTTCTGCCTAACATATTCTTTAATATATTTTATCTTCAATAATTCAAGACAGTTTGTGCAGCTATTTTATTTCCTTTGTCAATTTTATGCTCTTGTCAGAAACTTTGCCTCAGCAATGAACTATTTTGAAATCAAAAACTTTATGTAAAATACTTGGTCTAAGAACTTTTAGGCCATGTCTCAAATACATACAAGCACAGAAAGACAAAGAACTAGACCATACATAGCTAGAATAGAGGCAGAAGAGAGACATGATAAACATATTGATGTACTATGCATACATCTTGATTCAACTACATTCAGAGTTGAAAGCTTTTTCTTAAATTTGTCATGTGTTCACGACCCTTTATTTCTTTAATGTCAAATTAAGTCGTGCTGTAACAGCCAATTATTTAGTTTGAACAATAGAAGGATATACCGAGGCAAATCATGATGGCTAGAAAATACACGTAATATTATTTAGGACTTATAGAAAATTAGTTAGGAATTATCTTAGGGGGCTCAAAATGCATTGGTAGTTGTGTGAACTTTAGTCAGACTATTTGGTAATGATTTTTTATTTTACCAAAGAAATACTTCATTTTAACAAACATTCAAAGTACCACTCCAACTTTATTTTAAACCAAACAGGGAGATCATAAATGTGTAAACTTTATGCTTTTTTTTAAGATTTTAGGATAGATTATGTGAAGTTTGATTGGTTACCATATTAACCCTCACCTAACAAACTTCACATAATCTATCCTGAAAAAAAAATATAAAGCAATAAAACCAGTCTCTTTTCCACTAAACACTTATAAACCTACTGTGATGCATATATACTGGGACAAAAAAGATAAAATAAGACTACAGTACATTATGCCTTTAGCAGAAAACTCTGCTAGAAAACTAAATGGCTATATCTTGGATGTTACTTCATGCAGTCAATGTGGTGTATTTCCTTCACGTTGCAAGAGACAAAGTTTAGGGATAGACTGGCACTTGTGGCAGATTCCATGATATTGCAAACTTATTTCTTGTGGGGTATATATTGTTAATTGCATGCGCAGTATACAGAACGATAGTAGTCCGAGAAGGTAAAATAGTGCACAATAGTCAGGTCCCATGAAAAATTTGGCCACAAATGATTTGTGGGCTCTCACAGGATTATGCTTTCTATATCTATAGTTCACAGGAGCTATAAACATTAGCTCCAAAAGAAGTACTATATTGTGCTTTTTTTTCTTCCTTTACAACTGTGCCTCACAAAATGTGATACAAAAGCTCATGATCTTGGAAACAGTTTAATGAAATTTGTAGATTTCTATATTATACACATTCTCAAAATTGCTATGATACTTTATACAGTGAAAACAATAATTATACAGTAAACATTCACAAATATAATATTTCAAAATAAAATATATAAAACATGGTTACATCAGGTGCTGTATTTGCCACACTACCTTAACCATAGTGCTGCACGGCCTTAAAAATTATTATCAGAAAGTTAAATTGCCTATCTATTCAAGTTCAAGAAATTATTAGTGGTGAAAGGAACAAAGGAAATGGAATTTGCTACTTAATTTACTCTTAGGAAATCCTGAAGCCTAAATATTTATTCGTAATGTGCATATATGGCACAAAAATGTTCTCATTAGCCAATTTATTTTTATATCACAGCAAGAGTAGTATAAAGATAATTTAAGCATGAATGAAACAGTTGTGTGAGTGCTTGGTAATGAATTGTCCTTTATATTTCAGAGGTGTCCTCTCTAGTTTTATTGTGGTTAAAGCAGGGTGTTATCAAGAGACTTGCTGATGACAGAATTTTATATTTTAGAGTGAATTGTAATTGAAGTTGATCAGATAATGGGCAGACAGGACAACTTCCCTTCCAGTAAGTCTTCGGCCATTTACTGGTCACTTTAGACAATGGCTTGCTTGCAATCAGTTCTCCACTACTCCCTGATTTAAGGAGGTTTCCCCAACTTTCAGGATAGGAAATTTTGCTTTCCCACTGTTCCTTTAGTCCTATATCCCTTGATAAACTCTTTGGCAAATAAGATTCCTTTAATATCACCAGTCTTCTTTCTGCTTCCGTATTGGTATCCTGAATGATAAGTGGAGTCTGCAATATTCTGTAACAAATGGGGCTATGTAGCTTTCGTGCTTGGCACCTTTAAATAGTTACTTAAGGCCATATATTTTGGATGGTGTAAATGTTTTATATTGTATATATATGATGTAAAAAGCAGTTACTCACATGTGTAAGTATAGATCATATCATATTAAGGATTTTGCATCACTCATTATAGATATTCATGTATTATTTTATAGTAAATATTTCTGCAGTAACCATGAAAAAAGTGATGGTTATCTTGGCAGGAAAACAATTACTTCTTCCCATTAATTATAGTTTAAACTGATTTAATGAACAATAGTGGTGTTTAAGGCACTTGTAAATTCTTAAGAATTATTTGCTAACAAACAAAAAAGTCAAATATTCTTTTTCTAAACTAATTTGCCATTTAAATTATGTAAATTCTCAAGTGTCAAAACTGTAGTTAATTAGCAAATGAAGAATGTTTAGTGGTAAAGCTTTTATTTATTAACTAATGTATCATAGTGACATGTCTGAGTGCTGATGTATGTGAGCAGTATCAATGCTTACAAATGACATCAACACTGTGCCAAAATTCTTGCCAGGAGGCTTGAATTTGATGTTATCAGAAACAATGACAGTAACCACTCCCTATTCTGCTTAAGGTATAATTTTACTGGTTGTATATATTGTATACTTAGAGATGTATAAGGTGCTGTGAAAATAAAAATATAAAAATTATTCAGTTTGTTTGATAAAGTACTTACTTCATAGTATAAATCTGATGCCGTGTTACCCGAGGACTTGTCTTCGCGGTGGAAGATGCCGGACACGTGTATAATTTCCCAAACATTTCAATTGCTTTCAGGTGACAAAACTTGAAAGAACACACTAAGGTGGACAATCTTTCATAATAGTTTAAGAAGAAATTTGACAGTTAGCCCTCCATACTAATTTGGAAAAAAAAATACTATCTTTTCCATTTCATTTAATTACAACAACAATAATTGTTCATAGTACCAGGTCACATCTCAAAATTGGTATAAAATGGTGCTTGGGTAGATTATGGACTTAGTGAACACTTGTGTTCTCATTAAAAGGTCAAACATTTATAGTAGTAGAAATAAAAACAGATAATGTGGGATGATTTACTATTATGCACTGCAATTGGACAGAGGTTTAATGGTGACAAAAATATATTCAAGAATATATTAGGCACATATATTTCACACGAGCTTTCTTGATAACAGTAATGCAGCAAATACAAATCAAAGTGTACTACAGAGTACTTATACAAGCTCGTACATCATGAAAATATGAAATATGGTTTAACTATGTACACTTTCAACTCCTCATATACAAAGGACATTCACAAACAAATCCAACAATAATTTTCTATGAAATAAATGTGGCAATTTACCTAAAGTTTTCCTCAACTTAATCCATGAAATAAGGTTGACCATTTCTCTCTCTGCGTTGAGTAAGGATCTCGACACCCGTTTCAGTCACCAGCAATGTCTCCTCAAACTGGGCCGAAAGTTTCCCATCCAATGTCACGGCAGTCCAATTGTCTGGCCACTGCTCATCTTTCCATGTTCCTGTCAGAATCAATGATCAAATACTTGAGGCATGAAGCATGTGGGCTGACAACAATAACGCAGTGTCCATACAAAAAGATAAATGCAAAACTGAATACAACAATAAAAAAATGAAAATAATATGGGGATTAGATGTGACCAGATGGCTCCATGATGAGGAGGAAAGAGTGCAGACCCTCGTGTACAGTTGTAATGGAACATGGGAAAAATGGTAGAAGGGAAAACTCTTATAAATGTGGTGCTAGAATTGAGTAATTAAAATATCGAGCAGTAATTAAAAATTGAAAGTGAAACTCTTGCACTTTAAGAGTACTCTTATGCACTCTTAATTAATATTAATTATACTTATTATGTACTTTTGTGTACAGGTATTAATATATTTAAACTTGCATATAAATATATGCAAGCAAGCATATTAATATACTTAATATGCACTCTTGCATATAAGAGTATGTGGAATACACAAGTTGATAGATGGTAAGAGAATGCTCACAGATAGTTTTGGGCGTTGAAAAAAATAGGTGCTTGCAAACTATGAAGAAAGTGTTTTCAAATGAATTTGAGGGGAAGATAGCGAAAGGTCAGGAAAAAGGTGGCCAGACTTGGTAAGTGTTCATGATGCACAGGACATAGTAATAACATTCCATCCTTCAATAATAAGAGAATTTATAACAACTATATGGTCAAACATGCAAAAATGGACTGTTAGACCCCAAAAAAATTTACATTTTGTACTATTGAATTACCCCAATGGCATACTTAAAAAAACAAACTTATCTAACTTTTCCAAACAATCCTAAACCTACTATATGCTTAATATAATACATGTATGTGCAATGCTAAGCCTAGGATGGTTTGTTTGATTTTTGGATTTTTTTCATGGTCTCTAGAAAATTAGTACTGAAGTTCAAAATGCAAACATTGTTGACTAAAACAGTCAAACAGTTTTCTATAATAATATATAGTTCATTCCACTGTTGGAATGTGGTGGTGCTTGCTGCTCAGTGATGGTAGCCCAAGCAGTATAATTTAAGTTATGACCAACAGATGAGCAATATTTATATTTTAATAGACTTTAACAATAACCTTTTATAATATTATTTGCCTTTTTCTTTCCAGTCTGATACTTCTCCATCCTATAAAAGGGGTGGGGATGGGGGCAGGTATGGGGAACAATGCCGATACCGTAATATATGTCTCAGTATGTATAGACGACACAGGATTATATTTATTAGGAAACAAAAACAAGGCAACATAAAAAAAAAAGATACTTCCAGATTTACCACAAGTGCTTTTTTTTTCATTCAGTTTAACCTTTAAGCTGCAAAGACTATTTCAATGTCCTGTCATTGCATACACAAAAAATTGTCCAGAAAAGATTTTTTTTTAATGACATTGTTAACCCTTAAACTGCTACAGCATAAGGGCCAGGAAGCCAAAAATATTCAAATCATGTAAAAATTACCTAAAAATGTTAAACAAATCTCCAACTTATTGGCTTCAGTATCGTCAAAACTTTCATCAAAATATTTTCAGAAATTGATTTTGAGACAATTTTTTTTTTTAAAAGAAGAAGAATGTTTTGTTGATAAGAACAGCTTCTATTAACTGGAACTGATGGATAATGCAGTAATAAAGAGATGCAAGCACCTGTCCGACACACAAAGAAGAAGAATAGTAGTAAGATGTGCCCACAAAGTGGATATGCAGCTGGTGCCTTTATAACATTACTGAGTAATACATAACAGCACAAATAATAATGAGTATGTTGTTATGCTCTATTTTGTTATATATCATAAATACATTGCCCAAAGTTAATATCTATTATTTTCACCAATGTTCAAAAAACATTGAGGGGGTGGGATATTTTTTTCGCCTTTGTTTTTATCTGATTTTGTTGCAACCTCTACATCCTGGAGAGTGTATACCCATCCCCGACTATGTGAAGATAGAGTGAAATTGGTCTACAAATAAATCAACTCGCAGACTTTGGGACTTAGAATTTGGGGGCTGATATTTTTCACAGATTTCAAACTATTTTCTTTGCCTCTCTAGGTTGTTTTGATGATTAGGGACCAGATTAGGGCTTTTTGACTTATATAATGTATACCCTAAATACAGCCCCTAAATCATTATATTATTATAATTATCCCTATATTTCTTTCTTTTGGTGGGGGGGGGGGGGAGGGATTATTTTTTGTTGACTTCATTTTAACACATATAGATCTACAACTTTCACATATTCGAGTACGAATGGCAAACAATGTTTATTAACACTTTCGCTCACCCCGCGCGCCACCCCTCGACAGGGCGATATGGGCCCCAGCGTGTCACGGAAGCGCGCGTTAATTCCGAAAAGTGTATACTCTCTTCAACTTTGTCACCTCAATTCTCCTTCTACGAGAATAAATTTGGTATCATTGTGTTCGCAATAAAATTCTCTACAGCACTAAATGCATATAAACTCCAAAAGCCCGGCTAATTACCCGCAGCAAACAGAGAAAGTGCGAACGAGTTACCCGGGAGCGCGCAAACGGGATAAAATGTTTTCACTATTTTCACTCTGGTCACCTCAATTTTTGTCCTAGGTCTTTCATTTTGGTCTCAATGGGTTCATAATAAAATTCTCTAGAGGAACATTAGCATATAAAAAAAACACCTGGTCACGCTCCAACCGCCGACGAGTTGAAGACGGGCCACGCGTTAGCCGTGAGTGAGCGCTCAGAGGCCTTCCTACTACACTCCCAATTCCCACCCTTTTCAAGCCTTTCTTTCGCAATTTTCTTCCTGGAAGGGCCTTGTTCATGATTACTATCCATCGTGGAGTAAGCGTAGATAGTTTCTAAAGCCGCAGTAAGAAATATAGCCACGGAAAATAGCCGAAATGTTCACACGTTTGAGATGCGAGGGGAGACGACATTGGTCACAACAGTGGAGCAAAGACAATGGGCCCACGGCGTGTGCCAAGCCGCCTGAGGGCCACGAGGCTCAACAAAGGAAATGGGAAGACATCGGCGCACATTTTAAAACCAGTCCCCAAAAAATCGGATACAAACCTGATTTTTGGCGAATTTTTAAAGTGGATGACGCAATGCTGCGTCATCCCCGAGCGAAAGTGTTAAAACATACAAGTAAAAGTAAAGAATTTGAACTACCTATATTCATTGTTGATAACTTCAACTTCAATTATCTCAAACTTGAGTTTCAACTTTCGAGTGGCTTCTAAAATTCCAGTCTCTGACTGATTCTTAGCAATTTGACATATTGTGTGTTCAGCTTTCTGTTCTACAATCCCTTCAGAATGGATTTTTCATAAACCCCTAAACGTTTGAAGTATACATTTTTTTGTCTAAATTTGCCGCATATTTCAAATGCCATATTGATGATTTTTTACAGTAAAGTATACTGAAAACCTATATTTTTATTTGATGAAAATGAAAATCATATGCTATTCTGAGAGCATAACAACACCAAATGAACAATTGGTGATAGTTTATTTTTATTAATCTGATTTGAAATCTGAAGTTTTCAATGTTCAATTTTAGAATTATTTTTGATTTTCTAGTTTTTCAAGTTATGTTGGTGATCAAGTGACAAAGTAGGAGCATTAGCCGAGTTGATTATGCACAAAAAATTGGAAAGCATTTGTGCAAAAAACTGGTTATGTCCAATCGTATAAGTACGTTTTGCGCCGTTTAAAGGTTGAGGTAGCCAAAAGCAGCCATATCTATGGATACAAATAAGTTTGTGTTATGAAAGAATGACTGAAGTGATGATTGTATCTGAAGCTATGGTTATAGTGACTGCAGATATAGTTGTATTGGTGGATTGTGACTATAGTGTTGTTTGTTATGGTACATAGTGATTATTTTGATGACAATTGAAAAAAATCCACAAGAGCCGTGATGAGGGTTCGAACCTACTTTACATCCGGGATGATCCCAGATGCGCCTTAGTCGATTGCACCATGACATGGTCAAAAGAATTGCAACCAGAGTGCTACTGCCCTCACACGGATCCCGCAGCCTCTCCGAGACACAAACCGGGGTTTTACACAATTCCCCATCCACTCAGGCTGTCAACAAGCTGGTTTACCTCTTCGCCCTTACATACTTCAATACACTTCAATATGATTTGTTCATTTGATGTATCACACTATTGTGATTTCTGTGTGTGTGGTAACTGACTGTTTTGATGATGGTTGAATATTGTATTTGGTATGGCTTTAGTTGTGGTGGGGATTTCGTATTAAACATTTATAAAACTAAACTGCATGTCTGCCAGGAAAGGAACTGGCCAGCACTTTAAAATTTAACTGCCTAATTTAACAACAAATTTTAACAAATTTAACTGCCTAATTACCAGGTGTGATTCAATCGTCCATGAGAAAATTTAACTTCAATTACCACAGATAGGAAAGTAGACCTCACAAGACAAGTTTTGAATGGGTTAATGAGTACTGCATCCATAATATTGAGCTTTCGTCATGAAATGAGAAATATGTTAATACTGACAAAGATGCAGCAAAAACACTCATAATGGATGTGATGTGAGAAAAAGTGTTGGGCAATCAATGCAATTTGTTTGAGAGGGATACTGTATGTTGAACAGTCACATTAGCATTATGTCATGCACCACCCACCAAAATAATAGATGTAGTCATGCCATCACGTGCCAATGTGTGTATTTGCAAAGTATTCTTGTTGTATCAGAGTTTTGGTAATAAAGAAGAGTGAAGCTCATTCACGAGTTTGCATTTTTTGATGATGCTTAATCCAAGAATTCTGGATGTGTGTGCTGTTGATATAGGAGAGGAAAAATAACCTGAGTGCGGAATCTCTCTGAAATGCATCCCATATATTCCAAATATCCTAAATTCCAATTTCAGAACTACTCTTTACAAAATTTTTTAGAATTACATCACTTACCTGGAGCATACCTGGAAGAGGTTTCAGGAGTTCTTCTACTTCCCTTGAGGAAATCAATAGACTCCTCTAATGTGTAAATGATTTTATATAAGAACAAAGGGATGAACATGTTGCAAGTCTAAAGAATATTCACACCTACCTTCTGAGATCATTGGTTCAATTGTGAATGTGTGCCCAGGCTTCATAATACCAACAGCTTTGTTTTCTGCAAGAAAATATCATAAAATGGTTATATATATTTTACACTTTTTACAGATATTATAAAAAAGAAGAGAATTAAATAGCTTAATTAATAAACAATACAAGACACTTGTATATAGACTTTTACTACAAGTTGGTAATTACCTAAACTAATGGGCCAAAAATTTGCTATTCAACCAATGCTAATTCAGAATGTGAACCACATACGTGTAATATAGTACAGCATTTAATGATAAATCATTTATTATTTAACACATTCATGGAAAGCTTTATAACTTACTGGCATAGTGTGGAACAGATGGTGCTGTATGGAACAGCTGATGAATGCCATGGCCACAGTAGGAACGAACCACAGAGAAGCCCTGGGAGTGAGCATGCTTCTGGATCACTGAGCCAACTTCCCTATACTTGACACCAGGCTTAACTGCAGACACAAATACAAAACTCTTAGCATTCTTGCCTTCTGCAGATGTAATGTGCATCCGTTGACTAATAAATTTTCAATGCACACAAATGTTGTCATAATATGCCACAGCCTGTTCAGACCACATGCCTCACAAGTGAGAGAAGCATCTAACTAGACCATATGTTGGTTGGGTCCTGCTCGCTAGTACTGTGTGGGGCTCTGTAAAAGTGCTGCCGCCAACACCTTATCATGTGTTTGTAACAATATTTGGGAGGAATCTAGTGATAGTTGGTGCTGCAACTTATACAGTGCTTATGTATAATATAGTGTATAATATAGTGTGTGCTTACAACTAATGTGTGCTTAGAAGACATCTGTATAAACAATTATCAAGTTAAATATGGTTTGCAATGAGGGAATTTCAGACATTCCTCTAAATTAACATTGTTAAACACACATTGTCCCAATTTTTTTTTAATCAATTTTCACATGAATAAGTATTCCATTTTCCCGATCTTTCACATTATAGTAGTCTACGGGCTCACCAAAGCCCGTTCTACTTGGAACTGTTTGTTCCGAGTAGCTGAATCTAAAACATCATCATTATGAACAGTATTTGGACCGAAAGAGCACAGATACAATTATTTATTCCAGAGTGTGTTCATAAAGATTAAATGGCTATCAGAGGAACAAAATACAATCGAACACGTGTTATATTCTGCAAATTTAGCATGGCATTCAGATTATGAAAATAAAAATGGGTAAAGAACAATGAGAAGTTCACAGTAAGTGATGATAGAATAAGGGAAGCAACCTGTGGACCGAGCGCGTGGTTTTGGTGGCACAGGCGAGGCGCGCCTCAGTTTATTAGTGTATCCCGCCAAGTGACAACTCTGCTTGAATTCTTTGTAAAAAATTTCATTGTTTTTGTGCCTTTTTGGTTTCTGAACATAAAAGTATAGTAATTATTATATATCAGCGGTAAGTGGTCAGTGGTAAAGTTCAACCTAAGAAAATAGTTTTGAGTAGAGGCAGTAGAGGATGTCCTTTCCTCATTAAGAAAATGTGTGCAGTATGCGAAGAACTGCAAATTTTTGTTGGAAAAAAACTAGCGTTGAATTTAATGAAACGGCATTTTCTGAGCAAGTCCCGGAGGCTCCCCCGAGCTATCCAGACTGATAGGAATAGTCCTAACTGTTGGCATCGGTCTATATGGGTGGAGTTCTAGGCTTACCGAGGACCACATCCAGAACTTGGCCCTCTCAGAGAGGCACGAGGGGCAATGGCCCATAGAAATGCACATGTGATTTTGGAGTATTCTATATCTGCCATCGACCGGGACAGGCACCTAGTAAGGTAAGCACCCCCAAAACAAATCCCTATTCTGGTGAAACCAACGAAAATAACCAAACAAGTGGACAGAACTCCCCCAAATTAAAAGGAGCAAACGAGCATGACGTTTGGGCTATTGCTCCTCGTGCCTCTCTGAGGGGGCCAGGTTCTGGTCATGGTCCCCGGTAGGCCTAGAACTCCACCCATATCGACTGATGCCAAAAGTTAGGACTATCCCCATCAGCCTGGATAGCTCCGGGGAGCCATAGGGGCTCCACCCAGAAACTCACCCAGATAAAGGTGTAGCAGGCCGTTACATTAACTTTTTTAATGACAATGTAATGCCTCACTACAGACAAGTGTTAAAACGTAAGGAAAAACAAGTGTCTATAGACAGGTTTTTAGTGAGACAAACAAGCAGTGAGCCACAACCAGGTCCTAGTGGTATGCCTGCAAAATGTAAGAAAGAATACCCCATAAATATCATACCTGCCTGATGTTATAATGGAAGGGGGACTCCCCCTTTCAAACACTAACACCTCTCTTCCCCCCCATCCCCCCTCCTCATCGTCTTCCATATGCCAACAAGTCCTCAATCAAGGTAAGATATATACATATCGTAGTACAAAATATTTGTATTATGATGTATAAAATGTATTTTTAAGTAAATATTTTTGGGTGTGTGGAAAAGATTAATTAAATTTACATTATTTCTTTTGGGGAAAATTTGTTTCGGTTTTCAAATTTTCGGTTGTCGAACCGTCTCTGGGAATGGATTAAATTCGTAAACAAAGGTACCACTGTATTACCATAAATTTGGTGTCAAAATGTTTGCAAGTGAATTTGCTGGAATATAGATGTAATATAAAATGTGATTTCATAATAGAATTTGTGACATTTTATATACAGATTTTTATTAACATTTCAACATTCATATTTTGGTCAACATAAATAAAAATTAAACCATATGGAAATGTGCACACATTATCAATGTATTTTTATTACATAAAGAAAACAAACATAACAAATTTTTCTGGCAGGTAAATTGTAAAACAGTGAAAATTCTCACAAGCAGAGTAATTATTATCTTGCTTTACAGATAGTTGGCCAAGGTGATCTATGGTTGGTCCTCTCAAACTATAAGCTATGTCCATACTGTATTAAAAAAAAAATATTAAAAAAAAAAAAAAAAAAAGTGATTTTGGGGAATTTTAAGATGGATGAAGTATTTCAGCATCATTGAAATGCTAAAATGTTAATATGCTAAAGAACAATGGCTAAATATTCAAATAATAATAATAATAATAATAATAATAATAATAATAATACTGTAATAATAATAATAATAATAATAATAATAATAATAATAATAAAACACAATATATATTTACCAATTTCAATGGACTTCTGAAGACATTCCCAAGTGGTCTTGACAAGATTTCGTGCTATGCTATTCACCTCTCCAATAAATAGGGTTTCATTCAAATCACCGTGGAAATTGCGATGGTAAACTGTGACATCAACTGTGGAATAAATAAACGTTAATAAGTAAACAAATTAATGCCATTTTTGGGTGAAGAACAAGCAGCATACAGTAATGGAAAGCAATCTCATTTGTTTGAGCATCCAGCATGTGCCAAAATTTGCTGCAGAATCCCAAGGTAAAAGAATGAAGAACCTAAGTAAACAAATACAGCAAACTCAAAATTTTTAGACATTTCCTGGTTTGCATTTGAAAATTACTCAACGTTCGCTGTCAGGACAACATAATCATTCTCTTTAAAATCCACAAATAAAAGAACTTAAAGAATGTTATCAGGATTTAGGGGAAACCTGGAATACCCAAACATATTCACTAACAGTGAGGTATGGTGCAGCTTCGCAACATTGCTCTTGAAGAAAATGTAGCGCTACAACAACGAAACACAGTTAATGTCAAAAATATTTTTTGGCCAACCATTGTAAATTTCATTAGACACATAATGTACAGACTACATACATTACATACATTATCATTATCGTGTCTCTCCAATATCACTGGGTGGGGAGGCATCAGTCCAGAAAAAAAAGGCAACACAGCAAAACAAGGCTACTGTCAATATACAGTAAAATGTTAAAAGTATCACTTCCATTCACAATATCATTCAAAATACAATATTTAGCATCCAGGATAAACAAGCATTACTATATACACTAGCAGTTATCAACACGCAATAACCCGCTGCTTTATAAGATCAGGTGTATAATACTTCTCCCGAATTCTTATTTACATTGCATACAAATGCATATATTCCTTTCTCGCCAACAGTTTCCATCCAGCCTCGTTTCATACAATATCCACACTCCATACCTGCTTCCTTACTCATTCATTACGTTTGCCCACCTTCTGTTGGTGTTCTTCTCCATTAATTTTACTCTCACATTCACTTGAATACACACACTTCACCAGTTTATCATCCCTTCATTCAATATATTATCTTTATACCTTCAGTCAACATGCCCAAACCATTTCACTATGATCTCAATTTTGAGTTTACTGACTTTTTATATTCCATGTGACATTTTCATTCTCCTAACACCACACATGCTCTCAGATTCTCCATGTCAACAGCTCTACCTTTTGACTTTTTCTCATTCATGCCACACAATCTCACTCATATAAGAGTTGGCATTACCTCACTTTCCATACAGACCTCTTGCTTTTTCCCGACTGACCCTACTCTTAACTTCAATAACACATACACCCCTCTTGAGCAATTGCACAATTACACATGCACTGTTCTTTCACACACACAATTTCCTTTCCTCCACCACCATAACTTTACTTTTTGTCCTCCTTCACTTTTAAAAGTCTTCTCTCATCTTAATAAACATATCTCACTCTGCTAAAAGAATGCCCAACCACTTGGGCTGGACAGTAGAGCGACGGTCTCATTTCATGCAAGTTGGGGTCCAATCCCCGACCGTCCAAGTGGTTGGGCACAATTCTTTCCCGTCCCATCCCGAATCTTTATCCTGATCCCTTCCAAGTGCTTCCTTCCGAGTGCTATATAGTTGTAATGGCTTGACGCTTTCTCCTGATAGTTTCCCTCCTTCCATCCTTCTTGCTAAAAGAACTACCATCTGCATACACAAACTTTAAATATTCCAATTACTGTACTTATATTAGGCCTACACATTAGTTTACACCCATCTCTAGCATTCTTACCTTCCATTCCTCATAACCTCTCTCATTTACATTGAATAACCAGGGTGTCATTATGTAATCCCGTCATTTACCAACATTACTATTAAACCAACCACGTAATATAGCATTAACTCGTACACATGAATTGCTACCTACATTGAAACATTTCACAGAATTTAGCAATACATCAACTCAATATATACTCATCACTCTCCACAAAGTTGTTTAACTGTCAAATGTTTTTTCCAAGTCTCTTCACATGCCTTTTCTATAAGGCATCTCAAGCAAATATCTGATCGATAAAACCTCTTCAACTATAGAAGGGTTTTAATTTAAAAGTTAAATTGAACCAACATACAGTATTTGTTTAAGCAAATATTTTCTGAGGCATCCATATGTTCTGCGAGGACACACGTACTGTACAGAACATGTGTGCGGTCTAGCCTCATTACTCAAGCCCTTTCACTGATTTTTTCTTCTGATATATTACTACTTGGGAGTTGAAGCCAAATTATGCTGCAATAGTGTGGGTACATCAGCTGTACTTTTAGTTGGTTTAGTGTTCTTAGTTTTGTACCAGCTACAATATAGGGGAAGATGCCTTCTTAATGCATGCTACGATTAATTTTTTTTACCAAATTATCTAATTTTAAATTAACATAATAAAATGACAAGGAACTCCAGTACAAGACATACTACAATACAACCAGGTACTTACTATTGCATATATCCCCATTCTGTAGTGGCCTCATATCAGGGATGCCATGGCAGATAACTTCATTAATTGAAGTGCAACAAGATTTTGGAAAACCATGGTAGTTAAGGGGTGAAGGGTAGCACTCTCTCTCAACTGCAGCTTCGTGTATAACACGATCAATTTCATCTGTAGTTACACCAATATCTGCTACCTTAACTCCCTCGTCCAAAACTTCTCGAGCTAACTGAATAAAAAAAAAGGTTCTTAATTTTTGTAGTAGTTGTAATGTTAACGGTATTTATAAATACAAGCACTACTTTACTGTAGTTATATTCCCAACATTAAACTCTTAAATAAATGCTCTATAAAATTCCGAGATTCTGTGACAAGTTCTCGCTCAATCAGCAGATTACAGAACCAACTAGGAAAGAAAACACGCTGGACCTGATAATCACAAACAATGATGAGCTAATCAGAGACATTACAATCTCAGATACTACAAACTCAGACCACAAGCTCACTTAACTGCAAACTAACAATAATAACGGTAGTAGGTCCAAGAGAAACAACAAGCGAGAAGGGTTATTCAATCAATTCAAATTCAACAATAAGAGGATTGACTGGGGAAAAACAATGTAGACCTTGCAAACATTCAATGGAATACAGTCTGAAGCGACAAAACTCCCACACCATTGCTGTTTATAGAAGAAAAGGAGGCGACATGATCAGCACATAATAAATAGTAACGAGAATCTATAAGATCAAAACAGTAACAAGAATCGATAAAATTTATATGAAAGATTTCCCGAGACCTAAAACTTTAAGAATAAAGAGGTCTTAAATTTAAACTAACTAAACAAAGCTGCCAAAGAAATATAAGAAAATTCACTTTTGCAAACAGAGTGGTAGACGACTGGAACAAGTTAGGTGAGAAGGTGGTGGAGGCCAAAACCATCAGTAGTTTCAAAGCGTTATATGACAAAGAGTGCTGGGAAGACAGGACACCACTAGCGTAGCTCTCATCCTATAACTACACTTAGGTAATTACAGGAAATAGGCCAACTGACAGCTGAAGCATACAAGATCTGCTTCAAGTATGTGCCTGTGAGGAGGGTCAGAAAGGGGACCACTTTAGAAAGGTAACACAGACGACAGTACAGAAGGAAAAAAGTTATGGAAATACTGAAAGACACGACTATCACAAGCAAGGAAAATAAATCTAACAAAGAGATAGAGGAAAAAGAGCAGATGCTGAAGCGATCATATGAGTCTGAGGAAATGAAATTGGAACAGAAAGCTATACAAGAGATAAAGAAAAATACAAAATATTTTTTCACATATGGAAAATCAAAATAAAAAACCTCCAACAGTATTGACCAAGAGGCACATGGACAGGTTCTTGCAAGAAATGCCAGACCAACCAGGCTGTAGTGGATGTGGGCCTGCAGGCCAGTACAAGCAACAACAGCCTGTTGGACTAAGTTATCACATCGAGCCTGGCCTCAGGTAGTAGAAAATCGCCAGTAACACTCTCCAGGTATTGTATGTACAAAATACTACAAGGCATCTTTATTGATGCCTTGATCAAAATTTCTTAATGAAAGCAATGATTATAATTATTATTTTCTCAGCTCTATGAACTTTTAAGACACGTTTTAATTCTACTTCATGATAAACATGTAAATTGCATATACCTGGTTAACAGAAACTTGCATTACATGCAGAATGTATAGCAAGAAAAATCATTTAAATTTGTTGATTAAGAAATCCTGTATATGATGACATAAGATGCATGCTTTTAGTCCATCACCAATTGAATAAAAATAAATAAATAAATAAAATAATGTGTATATACAAAAGAGAGAGAGAGAGAGAGAGAGTGTGTGTGTGTGTGTGTGTGTGTGTGTAATTACCTAAGTGTAATTACCTAAGTGTAGTTACAGGATGAGAGCTACGCTCGTGGTGTCCCGTCTTCCCAGCACTCTTTGTCATATAACGCTTCGAAACTACTGACGGTCTTGGCCTCCACCACCTTCTCACTTAACTTGTTCCAACCGTCTACCACTCTATTTGCGAAGGTGAATTTTCTTATATTTCTTCGGCATCTGTGTTTAGCTAGTTTAAATCTATGACCTCTTGTTCTTGAAGTTCCAGGTCTCAGGAAGTCTTCCCTGTCGATTTTGTCAATTCCTGTTACTATTTTGTATGTAGTGATCATATCACCTCTTTTTCTTCTGTCTTCTAGTTTTGGCATATTTAATGCTTCTAACCTCTCCTCGTAGCTCTTGCCCTTCAGTTCTGGGAGCCACTTAGTAGCATGTCTTTGCACCTTTTCCAGTTTGTTGATGTGCTTCTTAAGATATGGGCACCACACAACAGCTGCATATTCTAGCTTTGGCCTAACAAAAGTCATGAACAATTTCTTTAGTATATCGCCATCCATGTATTTAAATGCAATTCTGAAGTTAGAAAGCATAGCATAGGCTCCTTGCACAATATTCTTTATGTGGTCCTCAGGTGATAGTTTTCTATCTAGAACCACTCCTAGATCTCTTTCTTTATCAGAATTCTTTAAAGATTTCTCACATAATATATAGGTTGTGTGGGGTCTATGTTCTCCTATTCCACATTCCATAACATGACATTTATTAACATTAAATTCCATTTGCCAAGTGGTGCTCCATATACTTATTTTGTCCAGGTCTTTTTGAAGGGCATGACAGTCATCTAAATTTCTTATCCTTCCTATTATCTTAGCATCATCAGCAAACATGTTCATATAATTCTGTATACCAACTGGTAGATCATTTATGTACACAATAAACATCACTGGTGCAAGAACTGAACCCTGTGGTACTCCACTTGTGACATTTCTCCATTCTGATACATTGCCTCTGATTACTGCCCTCATTTTTCTATCAGTCAGAAAATTTTTCATCCATGATAGAAGCTTACCTGTCACCCCTCCAATATTTTCCAGTTTCCAGAACAACCTCTTATGTGGAACTCTGTCGAAAGCCTTTTTTAGGTCCAGATAGATGCAGTCAACCCAACCATCTCTTTCCTGTAATATCTCCGTGGCTCGATCATAGAAACTGAGTAAATTCGATACACAGGATCTTCCAGATCGAAAACCATACTGTCTGTCTGATATTATATCATTTCTCTCTAGGTGTTCTACCCATTTAGTTTTGATTAGTTTTTCCAATACTTTCACTATTACACTTGTTAATGATACAGGTCTATAATTGAGGGGGTCTTCCCTGCTGCCACTTTTGTAGATTGGAACTATGTTATAGTTCTATATAGTTCTATATATATAGTCCATATATAGATATGGAACTGTGTGTGCGTGTAATTACCTAAGTGTAATTACCTAAGTGTAGTTACAGGATGAGAGCTACGCTCGTGGTGTCCCGTCTTCCCAGCACTCTTTGTCATATAATGCTTTGAAACTACTGACGGTCTTGGCCTCCACCACCTTCTCACTTAACTTGTTCCAACCGTCTACCACTCTATTTGCGAAGGTGAATTTTCTTATATTTCTTCGGCATCTGTGTTTAGCTAGTTTAAATCTATGACCTCTTGTTCTTGAAATTCCAGGTCTCAGGAAGTCTTCCCTGTCGATTTTATCAATTCCTGTAACTATTTTGTATGTAGTGATCATATCACCTCTTTTTCTTCTGTCTTCTAGTTTTGGCATATTTAATGCTTCTAACCTCTCCTCGTAGCTCTTGCCCTTCAGTTCTGGGAGCCACTTAGTAGCATGTCTTTGCACCTTTTCCAGTTTGTTGATGTGCTTCTTAAGATATGGGCACCACACAACAGCTGCATATTCTAGCTTTGGCCTAACAAAGTCATGAACAATTTCTTTAGTATATCGCCATCCATGTATTTAAATGCAATTCTGAAGTTAGAAAGCATAGCATAGGCTCCTTGCACAATATTCTTTATGTGGTCCTCAGGTGATAGTTTTCTATCTAGAACCACTCCTAGATCTCTTTCTTTATCAGAATTCTTTAAAGATTTCTCACATAATATATAGGTTGTGTGGGGTCTATGTTCTCCTATTCCACATTCCATAACATGACATTTATTAACATTAAATTCCATTTGCCAAGTGGTGCTCCATATACTTATTTTGTCCAGGTCTTCTTGAAGGGCATGACAGTCATCTAAATTTCTTATCCTTCCTATTATCTTAGCATCATCAGCAAACATGTTCATATAATTCTGTATACCAACTGGTAGATCATTTATGTACACAATAAACATCACTGGTGCAAGAACTGAACCCTGTGGTACTCCACTTGTGACATTTCTCCATTAAAATGAATGTTGAATATTAGCATATTTATACTACACACAGAAATCACAATAGCGTGATGCATCAAATGAACAAATCCACAAGGGCCGTGACGTGGATTCGAACCTACGTCCGCGAGCATCCCAGACGCTGCCTTAATCGATAAGCATTAACATATTTATTAATGTTAGTGTGTGTGTTAGTAATGTAGTGTGTGTGTGTGTGTGTGTGTGTGTGTGTGTGTGTGTGTGTGTGTGTGTGTGTGTGTGTGTGTGTGTGTGTGTGTGTGTGTGTGTGTGTGTGTGTGTGTGTGTGTGTGTGTGTGTGTGTGTGTGTGTGTGTGTGTGTGTGTGTGTGTGTGTGTGTGTGTGTGTGTGTGTGTGTGTGTGTGTGTGTGTGTGTGTGTGTGTGTGTGTGTGTGTGTGTGTGTGTGTGTGTGTGTGTGTGTGTGTGTGTGTGTGTGTGTGTGTGTGTGTGTGTGTGTGTGTGTGTGTGTGTGTGTGTGTGTGTGTGTGTGTGTGTGTGTGTGTGTGTGTGTGTGTGTGTGTGTGTGTGTGTGTGTGTGTGTGTGTGTGTGTGTGTGTATATATATATATATATATATATATATATATATATATATATATATATATATATATATATATATATATATATATATATATATATATAAATATATAAAAAGGTATAGACCCGATGCATATGACATCACTATACTCCATGTTGTATGCAAACATTTTGACTGAAGGGGGTAAGGGGGGTAAGGGGAATGGCACTGGTTCCTTATTAATGCTAGGACTGCAGAATGTGCACTAATGTGTGTTTTGTTCAATGTGCACTGACTGTATGCATTATAGTATTGTGTTACCATGTGGCAGCCAACATGAAAGTAGCCAGATTCATGAAGTTTTACCAATGTCCTCAAAAAAGATCATTCTGAAGGTTAAACAAGCTATCTTTAGAGAAAACAAAAACCCATTCTCTTTGGTACAGATGCAAAGTCAATGAATACTTGCACAAAATGAAATTCTGTAAGAGAATGTAAACTTTGTCAATGTGTAAACCTGTGGCATTACTGTTTTGTAAATAATAAGAAAAAATACTACTATACTGAAGAATGATTTCAAATATTTGAGAATACTGCATACACATTAATCTGTGTGTGTAAATCATGAAGAAGTTGACACGTGATGGACACTGACAGTCAGACCACGAAGGAAGGATTAAGACAGTAATTTCCTCAAGTACTTTCATATTTAGTAATCCATCTTCAGAAGGATACATCTTCATTCTTCTGAAGATGTATCATTAAATACAAAAGTACTTAAGGAAATTCCTGTCTTAATCCTTCCTTCATGGTCTGACACTGTCACATTAATCCATGTATAAACAGTATTCTCGTATAATAATCTCATACAGATTTATAACACACATTAATCCATGTGCATTGAGAGCTAGTAATGTAAATATGTGCATACAAATCTACTCCTAAGGATGACACTGGACATGCCAGACCAGTATTTACTTTTTACTATATTTCTGACTCCTACCATACAACTTGTTATAATAAAAAAAAAGGGTGGGGAGAAGGATAAACTGGCAAATATCTTCACCAGACCACACACATATACGGGGCGCTCTCTATGTTTCGGTTCGTCCTGGACCATTCTCAATCGACTTGAGAATGGTCCAGGACGGACCGAAACGTCGTCGTCCCTTCACCTTCTAGTGTGTGGTCTGGTCAACTTACTTTAGCCACGTTATTGTGACTCATCGCCTGCATATGGCAAATATCTTGTTAAAAATTTTGCATCATGGTAAGAGTTGCATCAATAGTTTTGGACCCAAATGAGTGGCATTGGTAGACCAAATACTGAGAACTACAAGTGTGTAATTTTGTTTATTTCCATTTGAAATACTGTATTGTATATTCAAAAGGAATCTGTATGCAAAAATAAAGAAAGAATGCCAAAATAAATACTATATATACAGTGAAAATCTATTTTGGCCCGAGTAAGTGCTGCAATCATATGATGGGGACTAAGACTTGAACATCTAAATCAAATATATTTGGGGCCTACTGTGACTGCTGGAAGTTGCCACTTAGCTGTTGGAACCTTGCAGCCAATAACCGCATCAATATAGCCTCAAAACTTAAATCGTCACATGATGATGACTACATTACATTAATCGATCAACACATGATGACTGCACTTTGAGGGTTAATATTATACAGCTTTCCTCATCAATCTAACCAAGACTTCACTTTTGTAATATGTCACCACCTATACAGGTCATTATTCATATATGGCACTGTAACCTAAGTAAGGAACCAATGTTTCTTAAGCCACACAGTCACAATGTTTACAAATTAACACATTGCGGCATGACATCAGTACAAGGGTTTTATAAACAAAAAATCACATTTGAATCAAATACTGTATTATTAATATTGTACCAACATAGTTACTGCAGTAAAATTTGCATAGTTAAGCAGTCAATGAGCAGCCTAATGAATACAAATTTATATTTCTAAAGGTAAGAAGAATTCCTTTGACAGCTAGTATGGTGTAATCATAAAACTGCAAATAAGTTGCAAAGCTAAAACTGTACAGTACAGTATATATAAAAACAATTAAAACATAGCAGGGGTGGCCTAACCACAGCTTCCGAGCTGCATGCAGTCTTTTTACCTTTAATATTTTTACACGAAAAGGAAAATTTCTACCCAAATCCAGGATAAGAAACGTGTGGCTGTATAAAGAGTTCCGATACCAACAGAAGGGAGTTCAGTACAAGTGCTGATGTTGAACTGGGCAGACCTAGCTGGTACACTTCATATATAAAACTTATTTAAAGTGTCTGTAAAAACTTTGTGAAGGAAGATGGCTTCAACAAATTGTAAGAAACAAAAATATGAAGATGAACACAAATTTTCAGCCAGAGTGGGAGGAAGAGTTTTCATTCACAGTTAAAGGAGGTAATCTTTGTGCCGTATGTGTCAAGTGTCACTCGGTCATTACAAAGCCAGTAACTTGAAACGCTACTATGAAGGGGAAAAGGGAACTATCGAGAGAAATCGCCAAGCTGTTACAACTAGATAGCACTTGGAAGGGATCAGGATAAGGATTTGGGATAGGACGGGGAAAAGGAATAGTCCCCAACCACTTGGATGGTCGGGGATTGAATGCCGACTGGCATGAAGTGAGCACATCGCTCTACCATCCAGCCCAAGTGACTGGGTATGCCACTATGAAACTAATAAAAAACTTTTCATATGATTACCAACCTAAATCAGACCTAAGGACAAATAAATGAGTTAAAATCATCTATAAATAGCCAACAGACACTGTTGACATTGTTCAGTAAGGAAGCCACAGCTCTCAAATGGCTCTCATGTGGCTCTCAAACATCTGAGCTTTATCATTTGTGGCTCTTACAGTAAGCAAGTTTGGCCACCCCTTGCAATAAAGTATTCAACTTCATAACAGAGTTATGAAAAAGTTAATAGTAAAACTCCCAACACTGATCTGCAGTTCTAAAGATACACACACCAGGCTCTCCTGACTTAAAAATGGAAGATACCAGATATAATACCTTGCACGCCACTCTCATACCCTCTTTTTCTTCATCTGAAAGGCACCTAATGTTGGCAGCTCCTCGCACTTTTTGCTCAGAGTGTGGAAATCCATTTGGGTCATCAGCATAATCTGGTCTACCTATGGAAGTGGGAACCTCTCTTTTGCTGCTTTGTGGATATGGTCGTAAACTGCCTATTGAGGAAAGAATAAAAGAGTAACACTTTACATCCCAAATTACAATGACATGTTAGGAAAACACAAAAATAAAAATATGGGTTACAGAATTTACACTAATAAAAACTTAATTTATCATGTACTAAGACATTAAAAACTGGTTACTGAATATAGAGCTCCACATGTACTGTAATATAAAGCCACATGCAAAATGTTGGCTAGTGAATGAAAACAAATTTACAAAGAAAAGCAGCTTTTCAAATTAATTTCACTTACCAGAAAACATGTAGTATGGCCATGGGTTGTACGGCAAGCTGGAATCACTGGCTCCTGAAATATTCTTAAACTGAGTAACTGCTCTCTTAAAATATGTATAGCCAGGAAAATACTGCATGATCTGATCTAGTTGTTCAGAGAACCATGAAGAGCCTGTATCAGTAAAACAAATGTTAGTTAACGTTTGGCTTGATATACAGAAGTACCGAGCATATACAAATTACAGCACTAGGTTAGCAGCTTTAGTTACAAAATCAGCCAATAAATGGCATGCATAAAACTTCTGCAGGGCACTGCAAATTAGCGTGAAATTGTTAAATCTATCCCCTTTCAAATGAGTAGACAATAATCATTGAAATAAAAATTGAGAAAATGTAGCAGTCGTGTAATGAAACCCTAAGATCGTCAATATAGATAAATTAATTATGAAAAATTAAAGTACTGTACAGTGGAACCTCAGTTGACAAATGCCCCTCTTTACCCATTTTTCGGTATATGAGGTCAATTTCCTTGAAAAATTTGATTCGGTATTCGAGGTTTGTATCGGATGTCGAGTTTGTTGATACATTTATGGGTCGACGAGCGCATGGTTCTGCTGGGCGTTGGATTTACCAGTGTATCCTGCCTAGTGACGACCACGCTTGAAATCTTTGTGAAAAATGTCTGTTTTCTGCTTTTTGGTTTCTGAACATATATATTATTACACAGTATATTATGCCATAGGTCCAAAAAAAGTCAGTGGTAAAGTTCAACCTAAGAAAATAGTTGTGATGATGACGAGAGGAAAAACAAGAGATCATTCCTAGTGAATGAATGCGATATCTCACTACAGACGTGTTAAAATGAAGGGAAAAACAAGTGTCTTTAGACAGATTCTTAGTAAAACAAGCAAGCAGTGAGCCACAACCAGGTCCTAGTTGTATGCCTGCAAAACGTATGAAAGAGTACCCCAAAAATGTCATCACTGCTGTTTGTAATAATGAAAGGGAGACTACCTTTCCAAACATTAACACCTTTTCCTCTACACTTCTCACCGCCTTCCATATGCCAACAAGAGTCCTCAATTAAGGTAAGGTACCAATGAGTAGCATTCTGCATAAAAGTTAATATTTTTGGGTGTGTGGAACGGATTAATTCAATTTATATTATTTCTTATTAGAAAATTCTTTTCAGTTTTCAAATTTTCAGTGTATGAACCGTCTCTTAGAACAGATTAAATTTGTAAACGGTGGGGCCATTGTAGTATGAATGTGAGGTCATTTAATTAAATGCAGTGCTGAGAGGTACAGAAAAAGTATATTGAAAGAAACGGATGCTTACAAAATGCCATGACAAACATGAGAATTGTGATATATAAAAAATATTGTCCTAAGTGAGTACAGTAGAACCTCAAGTGATGAGCGCCTCAATTGGCGAGCATTTTGGGTAACGAGCGCCCAGATCGCCGACAATTTGTTTCGTTGGCGAGCGCTCATTTGAATAACAACAACACATGGTGGGGTCGCGCTGCTTCTCGCACATTCTCGGACGCCTCCGACAATGCAAATATTTTTTTTTTTTTAAAGATGCTAATGATGCTGGGATATAAAGGGGTGACTACTGGGATGTTGCAAAGCATTGACTTTTTTGTAGAAAAAATAAATGACATTTTGTGAAAAATAACAAATGTCAAAAAGGTTCATTTGGTGTTCTGCAGGTATGCTGCTCCATGTTTCTTAAATAAAAAAATAAAAAAACAATTGAAACAATTTGAAAAACGGACAAATGCCATAAAGGTTCGTTCAGTGTATGTCAGGTAGGCTGCTCCATTATTGAGAAATGAAAAATACAAAACAAATACAACACATTTGAAACAAAGAAAGATTGTCATAATGGAGCAGCCTACCCGACAAACACTGAACGAACATACTGTATATGGCATTTATCTGTTTTTCAAATTGTTTCAACCTTTTTTTTTTATTTTTTTTTATTTAAGAAACATGGAGCAGCCTACCTGCCGAACACCAAACGAACTGTTTGCTATAAAAAAATGAAAAAAATATTGAACAAATTTGAAGAAAGAAAAATGTCACAAAGGTTTGTTCATTGTATGTAAGGTAGGATGCTCCATTATTTAAAACATCGAATACTGTATCATATAGATGTTTTTCGGTGGTAGAACGGATTAATTTGATTTCCATTATTGCCAATGGGGAAATCCGTTTTGTATGACGTCCGTTTCATATGATGATCACAGCGCCGGAATGGATTAAATTCGTTATTCGAGGTTCCACTGTATATTCTGAGAGGGGACCAAATGTGCAAAACTGTTTAACACCATTAAAAGAAACCTTGAATTTTGAGGAAAACTGAAAAATACTACAGCAGTAGGACTGCTGAAACTAAAAGATGTCATAGACAAGGTGGAAAGTGTTGGTTAAAATTCAACTGGAAAAATACAAAATGATACTGACAAAATACAAAGAATTTAGAGTACTGTACTGCACTCTGTACACTATGTAGTCATACTTCAGGTGTGAGCTCAATCAACATATTTATTGTACACAAAGAACACATCTAAATCTCTTGCTATTTATATTGTAAAGATAATTATGAAGCAAGTGGAGGTAAAAATGTTATCAATAGCTAAGCTAGAAAAGTATTTACACAGCACATGGAGGTTCAAAGACATGAAGAATACTAAGAAAAACCCAATTAAAAGTTAGATACAAATGTACATACAGTATCATACATACTAACCACACATTAGACACTTAAAAAGGGGACAATATTTCAGTGTTTTCAGAACAATCCCTGTACCAAAACATTTCCTGGATCAAAGTCTCAACCTCTTTACGTGTGGGTTTAATATTTATTTATTTCAGCTACAGCACTGTAACAGAAAATCTGAGCAAGGCTTAATATAGTAGCCATAGAGAGCATGCCCATGTATTCTGCACCAGGCCCAGTCATGGAATTTTATATTCATCAAGTGTCATCCCTGATAGACTAAAAACAGCGGAGATAGTGCCACTTCACAAAGAAGGTAGTAAAGCAGATAAAAAATTATAAACCAATAGCTCTAACTTCAGTAACTTCAAAAGAGTACTAAGAAGTAAGATTACAAATCACATGGAAACACAACATCTACATAACCCTGGACAACACGGGTTCAGAACAAGGCATTCCTGCCTCTCTCAATTGCTAGGTCACTATGACATGGCATTACGTGCCATGGAAGACTAGCAAAACTGTAAAATATAAAAACTTTGCAAAAACTTTCAATAAATGTGACCATGGTGTTATTGCGCACAAAATGTGTACAAAAGGAATTACTGTACTGGCAAAGTAAAGAGATGGATCTTCAACTTCCTAATAAACAGGATACAGAGTGTAATAGTCAACACAGTAAAATCCTGATCATCTACTGTGAAAAACTCGGTCCCCCAAGGTACCGTACTTGTTCCAGAACTTTTTCTTATTCTAATATCAGACATAGACAAGGATACAAACTACAGTACTGTATCATCGTTTGGAGATGATACTAGGATTTTCATGGGAATCGACAATATAGAGGACACAGCAAATCTCCAATCTGATGTACATCAGGTCTTTCAATGGGCGTCATACCAATGATGATACTATTCAAGACACTTGTACTCTCTAGGGAGGAATATTGTTACACACTAATAGCCTCATTCAGAGCTGGAGAAAATACTGACCTAGAGTGTCCAAAGATCCTTTACTTCTAGAATCCACTATACTGTATAAGTCATCTTGATTATTGGGACTGATTAAAAGTTCTAAATCTGTATTCTCTAGAGTGCAGGTGAGAGATACATAATAATCTACACGTGGAAGACATTAGAGGTATTGGTTCCAAATCTAATCACAGATTACATCAGATAAAACCAGTAGGGTGTGCAAAATACCCCTGTTGAAAAGCAGAGGTGCAATAGGTACTCAGAGAGAACTTCATCAATATCAATGGCCCAAGACATTTCAACATCCTCCCACTACACATAAGGGGCATAACTGGCCGGCCTCTCACAGCATTCAAGAAAGAACTCAACAAACACCTCCGAAAAAAATCTGATCAACTAGGCTGTGATTCATACATCAGGCTGCAAGCAGCCACATTCAACAGCCTGGTTGACCAGTCCAGTAACCAGGAGACCTGGTCAGAGACCGAGCCATGGGGCCATCAATCCTCGGAAGCTACACAAGGTAGCCACTTGATAGGTAGGTAGTATACACTATGAAAACAAAAGTAAATATGTTATTGAAGAGAAAACATCAGTTGAATGATTGATGAATAATTTGTGCCATACACATACAGTATAACAGATTTATTTATCCTTTAAGTTTTGTTTACCGAATTATGGTTCAGCATTGCATGGTATCGCTACATCAGATGTCTTCTGTTATTTTCAACTGCAACTGAATATAATGATCACACATGAAAGGACTCCTTTCACTGCATCTCGATTTCCAATACACCAAGATCCATTTGAGCCTTTGTCCACTGTACTTAATACCAATAATAGTGGAGAAACTTACAACAGTGTCTTAGTGCTTGAATGAAGGTAATGAAAAGACCAAATAATTGTGTAGGTGAATTAAAACCAAATTTCTGGATGCAACCTACATCCTTTTTCAAGGTGGTGTAAACAATGTTACAGTAAACGCTCTTGCCACCATGAGTGAGATCATTCTAACAATCCACTAAGTTTCTCAAACTAGTACATGCAGACAACCTATTAACCACCCGCCTCACTCTAAATTGTTTCTTAATTTATTAAAAAAAATGTACATAAATTTGAACCAAAAAGGATGGCAACTTGCAGAGTAGATGCAACCTACACCTCACCCTTCCTGTTCTAGATTTTAAATTAATTTCTTAAAAGAACATTAAATAAATTTGTACTTATATTTCTGTGCTAATTTATCTTCACAATGTTAGAAACTTGTGTAGTAGTTCTCTCCAATAAACAATCTCTATTGCATCATCTACCACAACCCCTTGTAATAGTACTCTTCTTAGCCTCCTAATACTGTACTACATAAACTCCTCACTTTGTATTTAACACACACACACACATCTCTGATATTCACTTCAAATGTTTGCACCCCAATAATCGGTAAGCCGGGCATGCTAACCAAGTACATGTACTATTTAAGGCACCAAAGCATGCCAGTCTCTCAATAATATTTTAGGCTAATTTTTAATTACCAGGTACGTATACAATGAAAAATTATAAAAACAAAAACTAGTGACACTGTTGAGGTACCATTCATTGTCCTGGGCACAAAGACAATTTTAAATGTAAAATTTGTATGGCTCATTTGTACTGGACTATGCAAGTTTGACAACTAAATTTAAATTCCATGATTTATCATTAAAAATTCAGAGAAAAACTTTACTGGGTACTAACCTTGCACTAACTTTGACTAAAGAAAAATAGTATTTATTGCAAAGAACCTTACAAGACATTAAGTAATTCAGCTCATGCTATATACAGTATAGTATGATTATAAATTCTGTTCCTGTCCAGTACTGTATTCTTTTGCAATCCAGCCAATTTCTCAGTGTAATGTCTATATTCATCTCTCTTATTTTGATCCAAAGTTTGTTATCACATACATTCTCTTGCCATTAGTTTCATACTCGACTACACACGAGTATACACCTAAGCTCACTATTAACATATTCCTCTGACACACTCGATCATACTTACAAATTTGCTATTCAGAATCCTCTATGTCATTCACTGTAAATTTGCCATGACCATGTTATCTCAATACAATTACAACAATGCATTAGTCTACTATTTTCTTAACCCTAAGTGCTTTTAGATATTCTTTCACTACAGAATGTTATATAGAAAATCCACTGATTAACGACTACAAAAATTAAAAGAAACCTAGTTTCTACCAATGCTGTACAGTACCATACCATAGTAAATCTATGAAGCTTCAACGTAACTGGAAGCAATTTCTATTAAAAAATTGGATTATCATGTAACATGCAAATTTATAATGAATGGAAAAGCAATATATAAAAGCAAATAATTGTGCTGCTAAATATATATTAACTATTTACAGAGGTATACATGAACTTACTAGTCTTTTTATGAAGTAGTTTATGTGATTCCCATGAACCCTTGAAGCAACTCTGAAAGAAAATGAATTATTTGTAAATCAAAATTGAAACTACAAATATTGTAAATGTCTTGCATCAAAATAATTAAACAAAATTTATTCACTTGTGTGGTACTCAAAACAAAGAGTGGTTACAATTGTTATAATATTGAATATCACACTAGATGGGGTAACTGACAATACCCATGGTACTTTGTTAAAAAAAATTATCATCATATTACCTTAAAACTACCAGTATTTTAATGCAACTCACAATTTATGTGCACAATTAATAGAACACATTACCTATCCTAAGGAATGTGATTATGTTTGAGACAGACCCATGGAACCTTGCACTACTTGGATACTGTACAAGAAGTCCCTGAGCCCATTATGTGCCTCTGTAACCCTTTCCACTACTGCCCACAAGATGGGTATGGGGTGCATAATAAATGAACTAAATTAACTAAACTGTACAAGAAAATACAGTTGGATCAGACATCAATAAACCACTTATTAGCAGTGCAATGCCACTAATTATAATTAGCACTGTACATTTTGGGCCAAATTTCATACTTTACCACTTTTGAAAGGATATACAGTAAATCACAATGTACATGACTGACTCCCCAATAGATTTTATAATCATTAATTTTGTCAGGGGCAGGAAGTTGGTGTACATATATGTACAGTACTTCAGATATTTTATTTCCCCCAAGGTAGCACTACTGACCCTCCCCAGGATGCACCACCACAATACTGTAGTTGTCGATTCCCAGGTACCTATTTACTGCTAGATTAACATTGGTATTATGTGAACACAAACTTGCCCAATCATTTCTGTCCTGCCCAGGAACTGAATCCAGAATCCCCTGATTGTGAGTTGAGAACCTTAACGTTACCCAACCCAAATGAGTAACATAAATGCTTGATTGATAAAGATTAAGCCACCTAAGAGGTGGCACGGGCATGAATAGCCCGTAATGAGTAACATAGCCTGACCTAACCATATATACAGGCCTGACATACACAACAACCTGTCAAAACACCTGTGTACAATTGAACAATACCTTTTCTGAAAGCATCAAACTTTCAATTAAAAAAAAATGACTCTACACTTGCCTGTACAAATAACAGTATCCCTAAATAATGAAATAATGACACGCTAAAACCATTAACTGTAACTCCTCCTCTTCTGCCCGAAACGCTGCGCGTACTAGTGGCTTTACAAGATTGTAATTACTATCCTATGTATCCTCACAATCCCAATGTACCTTCTTGTATATATATAAATAAATAAATTCTATCACATAAACTTCTAAAAATACTAATATAGGCGAGAGCACGAGGAAACACGACCCGCGCCTCACTCAGCACAAGAACTAGACTGACAACGGGCTTCACCTGTGTGCAAAAAAACGATCCCTGTATTCCTAATTTGATGCAGGTTGGACACTGGAGCTTAGCATCGGCACCGCAGCCAGGTGTTTCACAGACGTGACACACAACCCCGTTGGCCGACATCTTTGTTGTCGTACTGAGGTGGGCGGCACACGAGCCTAAACCCGTCCTTCCTCGCCCTCAGCCTCACGCCTCTCATCCACCCTCTACTCATTAACAAACTACTTACTTAACGAGCCATCGTCACTTAATTAATTCAACATTTATGATATCGGTAATTGGGGCTGTGTAGATTTAAACAAAATGGTGATATAGGGATTGATATAGTTTTCAGTTGTACAAGGGGTTGCAGGGAGTAAAAATAATGTTTTCTTATGTAAATTAATTAAATTATGGAATAATAATTATTATTATTATATAATAATAATTTTTATTTAAAAGAATGCGTGTACAATGAACAAAAGAGGAAGGGACGATTGTAGGCACAGTTGTTTCACATACACTTAGTATAAGGGTCTCGGTAGTACAGTCGGATTCGTTCTCGACTCACAATCGAGAATTAAAGTTTGAAAACCGGGCGGAAGAGAAATGGTTGGGCCCATTTTTGATCACTTAATGTCTCTGTTCACCTAGCAGTAAGTAGGTATCCCAAGAATTAGCTAGCTTGTTGTGGGGTTGCAACCTGTAGTCCAGTCGAAAGAGAAAAAAATGCCGAATAAGGACAAAAAATCACGAAACGCTGCAATTTTATCGTCTTCGTAACAGAGTACTAAATAACATGAATTGAGTACCCTTTACCACCCTTGGCCACCATCTTGACATAAATGGCGGCCAAACACTTCTTTTTTTTAATATCACGCTTAGGACTCGCTTTAAAAACAAATACAAAATACAAATACAAATATTTATTCAGGTAAAGTACATACATACAAGGTAAGATACAAAAGTTGATGGATTTATAGATAGAGCTAGTACATACAATGCCTAAAGCCACTATTACGCAAAGCGTTTCGAACAGGAAAAACACTAAGACTAAAACTTAATACTAATTGAGATTAAAGTATAAATTGTGACTCGGTTACAAGTATCTCTGGGACTTCTCATTATCTGCTGATGTAGACCTGACCAAATGTAAACTGTGTCAACAAAATTATTCGCACACCCTCCGTCACTATGTGATGGAGTGCGAAAAGATAATTCTATAACCAATGTTCCAGCGATGTGTAAATATTTCATTCAAAATGATCTGCTACCAGTAGAATTTTAGCCAAATATCCCCAGTTTGCTAACTGTAGGTAGTAACTGAGTGATTGTAGCCTATCCACCGCTGCCCACTGGATGGGGCTTAATCTTCATCAATCAATCAATCGGCGGTGTGGGGCAGGACAAACTCTCCAGTATCATCTATTGATACTGGTAATGGCTCAAAAGGGCCACCACTTACGGGCTATTCATGCCCGTGCCACCTTTTGGGTGGCTTAATCTTTATCAATCAATCAATCAAACATTAACCAGAGTCTACTTTCAAGTCTAGAGCAGACACTTGCGAGATACTGTACCAACGCTCAGTGTACTCAACTCACACCAAAGTATCACCTGTGTACTTCTGTATATTCGACCAAATATATATATAGTATCTTAGTGTCTGTGTTTATTTGTCACCATACTTTACGTAACAATAGAACCGTTACATTGGTGACCCCAGAGAGTTTCGACGATACCCAGCCACGATGGACTACAACATGGACTCTCACTGGACCTCTACTGCTACTGTTTGCTGTGATGGAACACTGCCAACACCCTCGCCACAGCTATGATTTTCATCGCGTCCATCTCTGCATTTTCATCTACTACGGCTTGCTGCTCCACGATCGTTACTCACTCATCTGACAGCCTCATCAATGATTACATCATGTTGGATCTACAGCTTGTCCTGCCGACTCTCCGTCGCTGCCAGGGCACTGCTTGTCCTACGCCCACGACAGCTGCTCTGTCATCAGATTCATCTACACGTTCAATGCATTTTGATACTCGGCCGACTCAAGCCCTTTGCGCAGTACAGGACTTACAGCTTGCGTTTCCGACACTTCGTCGCCTTCAGGACAATTCAGCTCTAGATGTGATTACCTCGTTGTCCTAACTACGTGCCTACATTACCTCCTAATGTCCTGGTGCCCGAGCCCATCCGCCCCGGATCTAAATGCTCCACCAGCGACCCAAGGACGCAACAATTATGCACATTCTTCTCTCCTGCTACACCGAGCTTGTCCACACACTGCCTACATCTTTTGGTACCAGACTACAATTTCCACAATCAACAATGTAGTACTCGGCGTGTACAAGTCCTAATCAAACCCAAGACGCTACAGCTTCGACACAGAGCAGACAGCAGACTACGACCGCATCGAGCCGCCACGCTCTCGCTCCCCGAGTTCAGACACTCACAATTCTCAATCGAGCCGCCACGCTCTCCCACATAGAGCTCCACGACTCCGGCCTCACTCAGCTCTCTGCTCTGCTCCAGGCTTCGTCTCAACGTCTGCGACACTGCTAAATCCAGAGACACATCCGCCGACTACGCAGTTCACTTTTCAACCCCAGTTACCAGCCGCACCACAACCTGATCCTACGACGACGGACGATCCTGTGCGACCTCCCACCCTACAACCCCAGTTAGATGACATCAGCGAAGAGGAGGAAGTTAACTTTGATGGTTATGTAACGCGAGCAGGGTGTACAATTCACCGACCAGCTAAGTTCCTTGATCAAGTATTTTTCCTTTCATCCCCTGGGAGGGGGAGTTCTGTAGCGAGTAGATTATCCCAATAATATACTCGCTGATGATGATGAAGATTAAGCCACCCAAAAGGTGGCACGGGCATGAATAGCCCGTAAGTGGTGGCCTTTTTAAGCCATTACCAGTATCAAGAGCTGATACTGGAGATCTGTGGAGGTGCGAATGCAGCCTGCATGATGGGAGATGTCTCCCTTGTGAATGTGTTAAGATGAAGATGAAGCCACCCAATAGGTGGCACGGGCATGAATTGGTAAGTGGTGGCCCTTTTGAGCCATCACCAGTATCAATAGATGATACTGGAGATCTGTGGAGGTGCGACTGCACCCAGCGTGACGGGAGATGTCTCCCGTGTTTTAAACAGATGAAGAAGATGAAGATGAAGCCACCCAATAGGTGGCACGGGCATGAATTGGTAAGTGGTGGCCCTTTTGAGCCATCACCAGTATCAATAGATGATACTGGAGATCTGTGGAGGTGCAAGTGCACTCTGCGTGACGGGAGATGTCTCCCGGACCAAGTGTGTGGTCGCTGTTTTCGGATGATGATGATGAAGATTAAGCCACCCAAAAGGTGGCACGGGCATGAATAGCCCGTAAGTGGTGGCCCTTTTGAGCCATTACCAGTATCAAGAGCTGATACTGGAGATCTGTGGAGGTGCGAATGCACCCTGCATGGCGGGAGATGTCTCCCTTGTGAATGTGTTTATGAAGATGAAGCCACCCAAAAGGTGGCACGGGCATGAATAGCTCGTTAGTGGTGGCCCTTTTGAGCCATCACCCGTATCAATAGATGATACTGGAGATCTGTGGAGGTGCGACTGCACCCTGCGTGACGGAAGATGTCTTCCGTGATTTAAACAGATTTGATTGATGAAGATGAAGCCACCTAAAAGGTGGCACGGGCATGAATAGCTCGTAAGTGGTGGCCCTTTTGAGCCATTACCAGTATCTGATACTGGAGATCTGTGGAGGCGCGACTGCACCCTGCGTGACGGGAGATGTCTCCCGGACCAAGTGGTGACCAGATGGTGTCGATATATACTCGCTCCAAATGCATTGTTAATATTCCTGTCAACCTTTGGAGATGAATGAGGTGAGGCGTTGCCCGGGCAACACGGTGAGGTGTTGCCCGAGCATATAAGCAGCAGAATAGCAAACATTAACCAGAGTCTACTTTCAAGTGTGGTCTAGAACAGACACTTGCGAGATACCGTACCAACTGTCAGTGCGCTCAACTCACACCAAAGTATCACCTGTGTACTTCTGTATATTCGACCAAATATATATATAGTATCTTAGTGTCTGTGTTTATTTGTCACCATACTTTACGTAACAATAGAACCGTTACAAACATATCAATTGTGACACTAGCTCTCCACATATGTCAGTTGCTTAATTTAGAACCTGTACTTGAGGTCGATCTCCAACCCATTGTTGATGTGACGACTTATATTGAATTTTGTAACTAGCTCATCAAGATTGTAACTTGCTTAGCTAAATGAATTGTGGGGTTCAGTCCCTGAGCCCATTATGTGCTTCTGTAACCCTTTCCACTACCGCCCACGGGATGGGTATGGGGTGCATAATAAATGAACTAAACTAAAAAAAAACTAAAAACTGGGGATATAGTAGTATAAGAAAAATATAGGCTGAGTCCACCTTTTGTACTGAGAGGATTAATTCATTAGCCCCTCCACCTCTCATTAATCTAATGGCATTTATCTCTGAAATTCTATCCCCATCACTTTTTGGAACAACCGGCAGACTGTCAATCAAAGACAGCATACAGAGATCCTTTCAGAAAAACATTCAATGTAGAACAAGCTCATGGATGGATAATCTGGTCAAGATTCTAGAGAAAGTGGACCTGCCATGAACCATCAAAAACAAAGTGGAAGAGAGACCATATCAACACTGTCGGCAGCCTCCTCCATGGGAAGAATCGAATCTAAAGATAATCATTGAAACCAGTTAAAAAATCAGCATGTGACCCACAGAGGCTCAAGGAAGTAATAGAACAACAAATAAAAACCATCTCAAGACCTACAACGACTCACATCTTCACAGACGGATCAGTTGATCAAGTTGTTCTGCTGGGGCAGCAGTTTACACTACCAACCATGAAGCTTACTGGAGCATGAATAGTGGGTGCTCAACATTGCAAACAGAATTATATGCCCTGAAGGAGGCAATAAACTATATAATTGAGAATAATTTACATGATGTCATTATTCATACCGACTCTAAATCTTCGCTCCAGGCATTGTTATCCAGTCAGTACAGAGATAATATACAACTCACAGAAATTCAACATATAGGAAAAGAAGCCCATAATCTAGGGCTGTCAATCACCCTAAATTGGATAC